GTTTTGCAGACATCCCCAAACCAAGTGTCTTAAACACAACTGAATTTGTGTATTGTTTCACATCTGTCTTGAATACACTCTTGAATATATACAATGCACATATTTTATTGTTAAAAATACAGTCTATTTTTGAAGTGGCACCAACATTTAAGTATTTCATGAAGTAGTTAAAATTTAAAAAATGATTAATTTTAATCCCATATCCCAGACATTTGGAGACAGAGTCCTTTATCCAGCCTCCTGGATAATTCCTCTCTTTGTGGCCTTTTCTACAATTGGATCTGCCAATGGGGTATGTTTTACTGCAGGCAGGTAAGCTCCCATTCCAAATACCTTAAATTTTTTTTTTTTTTTTTTGAAGAGTGAAACAAAATGTATTTATATTTCAACCAGAATAAATATATATATAGAAAAAAACTGAAGTACTTTCAAATCTCGCTGCAGTATATTTTGCAAAAAGCAGCAATTGCAATACAAATTTGAAAAAACATCCTCATTTCAAAGTATGCAGAGTTTTATTTCTGGCTGAATTTAAAGCTAATCATTAAACAAACAAACAAGATTAAGAATTAGATGACTACAGAATTAACAGTCAAAATAAGAACTTGAAAGCTGTTCCTTTAGATCTACTTCTCAACACTGCTATTTACTGTTTTAGCAAAAATGTATAGTATCTGAACACAATAGGACTGTACACACTTTAAGAGAAGGCTGTCAAGGTAGTTCTTTGATACAGAAAAAAATTAAACTAAATACTCTTTAATAAAAGACAAGCACTATATATTTTTTTTCCAAAACAATTCCAGATAAATGAAATGTGAAACTAATGACTGAAAACAGAATTAGTTTTAAGTTCCGTGCATTGATATCAGTTATTTCCACTATTTCAGTTTACTGCAATATTCCCTAAATACCATTGTATATTAAAGGAAATAGCAATGCACGTTAGAGGAAACTCAATTCAGACGCAGCTGCACAATAAAAACAAATCTTAAGAACAATGGTACACTGCCCTTCCTCTTTCTGGAGAAGTGAACTCACCTGAACTCCACCAGGCTAACAAGCTTGCCTTGCCTTTTTTTTTTTTCAGACTTGTTTATGTAGCAGGCCGTGAAGGGCACATGCTAAAGGTGCTCTCTTACATTAGCGTTAAGCGCTTAACACCAGCACCTGCTATCATATTTTATGTAAGTATACACACTAAGTACTGAAAAATTATGATAAAACTGTTAGCAAGCATTTCAAAGTTTCCTACCAGCAGTCTTGACACATCTTTGAATCTCTGTGGGATTAGGATCTGTTTATGATTACAGATGACAGGAATATTGCTAAGTATCAGGTGAAAAAAAAACCTGCAGAAGAAAAGAAACTCCTTAATTTGAGAAGTTCCATTTCACAGATGAATTTTCAAATCAAAATGCTACGAATCCATAGTATGAAAGTTAAATAAAAAAACATCAAAATATTGGCATCAAATTCTTTACTTCACAGGATGCCTGTACAATATTTCCTGCTGTTTTCCCTCCTCTTAAGGATGCATTTACATCTTTCCATTTAAAAAGACTTCTCTATACTCAGTAAATGTATTTTAAAATAAAGCTAGACTATTTTTATACTGTACCTGTTTACGTGAAGATTAAGCCAGACTCAATTTTAAACTCAATTTTATTCCTCCATCCACTCCCAGTAAATTCATTACCCAAAAAACCACATTCAAATATTCTCTTCCTTCCACATGGACAGTCAACAACAAAATGAGTGCACACAATTTAAGTCTTTTAACTTAAAACGGAATTTAAGCTTCACACAAGTAGCTGCAATTCACATGAACTCAAATATTTAAGCAAAAGCACACAAATCAGGCTCTGAATGCTGTAAACATACACCCATACAGGCACATAAGTGTACTTCAATCTTTTATAATAGGCTATGCTAACTTTTGTTTTTGTTTTTAGGGGGCTATTACTATTATTTATATTATCCCTGGTGACATTAACACACTCATAAACTATTTTAGTTTTGCGGTCTGGATATTTTATGGTTTAAGTGTACTTGCACTTATTGTTATGAGGTTTACAAGAAAGGAACTCAAGAGACCAATCAGGGTAAGTTCAGCATTTTAAATGATTTCAAAGACTTCCTCTATCCATATTCTTGCTACTTTAATTGCCAGATCTAGTTCCAGAAATGTTGTAAGGCAATGAAAATCTGCCTCTTGTATATGCAACTTCTGTTAGAAGTTTCTGTAAAAATAACTCTATAAGTATTTTTGTGAATATTATTATTATTTTTTTTAAACTTGCAGATACCGATTGTCATTCCAGTTATAGTGACATTAATATCCATTTTATTGGTACTGGCACCAATCATCACTGCACCTGAACTGGCCTATTTGTACTGTGTTTTATTTATACTAAGTGGACTTATATTTTATGTACTTTTTGTTCATTTCAAATTCAAGTGGTCCCAAAAAATATCAGGTAAGTATACCTCAATTGCTAAATTCAACAGAACATTCTTAAGCTTTACAGTAACTACTCCACTAGAGCTCATTTTATGGTCCATCCCAACTAAATCATATAGCGGAGGGAACAGAAAGGGAGGCAATTTTCCAGACAGATAAGTTAGTAAAGCTCACTGCATGTCACTGAAGAATGTTTTATCCATTTCTGCAAAAGAAAAGGATGTCCAACTTAAAGCAACAAAGAAACTTATTTTTTAGCTTTATACATCACGGTAGTAACACAAAGAAGCACTTTTTAGAATGAGTAGAACTACTTCAACTGTAATATTAGCTTTTCAGAAAGTTCCTCTGGTCATTAATTAGACAACAACAAATATTCCTATGCCACAGAGCACTCCACCATTGGCTCAAGTTATCAGTTTTATTATGCTTACTAAGTACAACATCAGCATTAAGACCAATATTAATCAGTGCTGTTGAGCAAACCAAAAGCTGATAGCAGTCTGTGTTATCATTTATAAAATGATTTTGCTTAATCTCAAAAGGAACTCTTTCATAATCTCTCAAAACGTGATATGCAGGAATTTCAGTTTTCCAGAGGAAAACTGGAACCAGATACAGAAAGCAGAATTAACAGTTCTACAGACCAAAAAAAAAAGTGTTTCTCTCCCCAGCCTGAGTTATCACCTATTACATAATTACACAATTAGAAATAGTTCACTCTATAAAAAGCAAGTTTAGAAACCCTAGAGTATTTCAGCTTGTTTTGATTTCCCACCCCTTATTTAAATTTTACATATGAAAAGACACACAACAACTTCAAAGAATATTTGAACTAAGAAACTAAGAAAAATGGTATTAATTTAATATAAATACTTCTTTTCCTGATAAGGCTTCTAATAATTAATTTCCTTCTCAGAGCCCATCACTATGCACCTTCAGATGCTTTTGGAAGTCGTTCCACCAGAGGAAGTTGCAGAATAAAATATTTTGTGTGTGATAAAGTGTTTGAAGTTGAAGGAGATTCCATTCAGCTTGGGGCACACTTAAACTTTCTGAACTGGTATGTTCATACTAGCGTGCAGCATTTTTGCAATGCTACTTAGTATGTGAAGTACATTAAATATAAGAATAAAAAATTTCTGAGCCAAATTAGTATACAGCAAAGCCTTTTTCATTGTTTGCCAATATGTTAAGCCTGTCTTTCTTCTCTGCGCTTAAAATAAGGACCTTTCAATTAAAATGATGGTAAAACTTACCAGTAGAAGGTAGTAGTAGGGGTCAGAACCCCTCTTTTCTTCCTACTAAAACAACAGATAAGTACAGATAACAGCTCATCTGCAGCAACACCTACAATAAGCCACACAAAAACAGGAGAGACAAAAGCCAAATTACCTTCAGTTTCTCAGACCAGTGTTTACTGGTCATCAAGAAACTTGAAGACTGAGGAAGTGGGACTGGAGTAAGAACAAGCATCACATCAGAGAACAAAATGGCTTTAAAAAAAACACACACAAGTCATCAATTAAGGCTTAATTTCTCAGATACATTCGTTTTCTCCCATGCCATCTAAGGAATAGAACATCAAGTAAATGCAACAGAAGCTATCCCTCAGCATGAATGTGACTTGACTTAATAGGTCTAACTTCACCATTCTAGAAAGGCTCCCTTTGATAGCTGCCAAAAATGAAATTGAAAAAATAGATACTACATCTATGTATGTGAGTATGTAGCTTTCAGTTTCTCTGTTCAAGAAACAGATAGGTTTTTGATTAATCTCTTTTACTTACTATATTCCCTTAAAGTAAATAGATAAAGATTTTCTCAAGTAATTCTTCAATATTTAAGTGATTAATTTAAGAAAGACTGTTCAAAATACTGAAAGGTAAGTCCTCAACAATTTTAAGTACACTATTTTAAATAAACAACACAAGAATGCTAAACAAATATACAATATGCAAATACTACAAAAATTCCGTTAGCATATTAAAAAAAGTCTCAAAGATATTATCAAAGCCATGCTGAAGTTTCTCAAATTTCCAAATAGCAACTAAATTCTTCCTCGTTAAAAATGTAACAAAAGTTAAGATTCTCAAAATAAATCTGTAAAATTTCTATTCTAAACCATCATATATTTCCACTGAAGAAACAAACATGTTTTGAAGACCTACGGATGAAAAGAGATGTACTAGTTTCATATATTATGAATAACTATTACATTACTACATCACTGTGAGATTATTATTTTTTAATGTGTACAAATGTAACAGTGAAAAACTATTTACTGAAAGATTACATATAAAAGAAAAGTGCAAAGCCTTTGGGACAGGCAGACAAGATTCTACAGATGAGACGAGTTTCAGGAGTGACAGGATGTGAAATAAGAAAAACAACTCAGGAAACTGGAAACGTGAAATTGAAAATAAACACTGAATATTTTATCATGGCACTAATTCCACTGGTGTACAGTAGATAGCTACTGTAGCTACCAAACAGAATTGTGTTTTATAACAAGTCAAAGTATTTGCAGTCAAAGGAAGATTGCCATCTGAATTTATTTATGTAGAACTGACAAACAGGCAGTTACAAAGCTGATGCTGTAAGCACACGGAGGTTTATGGTAGAAACAATCAACTGGCCATCAGAACTTATTAAACTGCAAAAAATTATCTGCTGCTACCACAGCAAACTCAGAAAGGTAAATTAGAAGCTCTTTAAATTAAATACACATACGTATTTGCACAAAATCATTACAGCCAAAAGTTCTGAAGTGAAGACACTGGAATACATATATATGAAGTTATCATGTAGAGTATTTCTCCAGATGCTTAGGACCCAAGCAAGGTCTTAGCTTACCATCTTCCTCCTAAAATTAAAGCCAGTTCTGCAATCTGTACATTTAGTTCCATCAATTTCGGGAGTAATTCTCATGCAACAGATACTACTTTACAGTATTAACCTTAACAGAAACAAAAAATAGACACATCTCCCAATTACTCATCACTTTCTGCACCACTGTCTTCTGAAAAGTCAACCAGTTCTTCTGTCACTGCAGCAGTGCAATGCAACTTTTTAGTACCTAGAAGTAATTAACAAAGCATAATACTCATAAGCAAGACAAACCAAGAGCTTCAAAACAAATATAAGAAGCCCTTTTGGCTACAGACTAGACCAAAACACTACAAGGCACTGGACTAAAATGCTTTCTTTCTATGCTGACAGAAAAAAAAAAAACATCGTCTGTGGTTTGCTAGTAGAGATTCTCTTATGTGTTTAGAGTTGGACAAGAGTTACGCATATGAAATAATTTAGTATTTTAAATAAAATGCAAGTAACAAATCTCGATGTGAATTATTTCATGCATGATAAGCACTTATTTGTTTGTTCCTTACCAACTGGAAAAGGGCTTTTGTCTTCATAATCTTCCAAGTATTCAAAGTCAAAAGACACATGAGGATTCTGTTAACAAAAAAACAGTCTGAAATATCTGAACTTAAAACAGATAGTATGTTGGGAACATTCAGTGATTCTAAAGTTAATTTCCACTTCACCTTGTTCTTTAGTAACTTGCACCATGCTCCTTTTTTCTCTTTTCTGAGGACAATAATAGCCTCTTTATCCTTAATCACACATGCAGACTTTTCTGTAAGTATACACTGATACAGCTCCATATCAGCTGAGTAAAGTTTGCCTTCTGAGCAGGCACTGTATCATGAAAAAAAGAAATTAAAAAATTAAATGCAAGCTAATAGCTGAACTTTGTGTTTATTAAACTTAAATTTCTTAAACCTACCTGAAAATTACCTTTTCCTTAGAGAATTCACATTTATAGTCATCTATCCTCACTATTTGAACCTTCACTGTAACAGTCTCTTCATTTTCAAACCATTTTATTTTTGGATAGAAACTGTAATAAAGTTTAATTGGAGTTAGTGCAAAAATAGAAAATTAAGCTGCCTTAACTACAGCCAAGATTCTCACACCAGGATGCCAACAAACAGCACCTGTATGCATACTCAAACCCTAACAGACTGACTGAATAACAATGACAGAAAAGCACATCTGCTACAAAAGCACTGCCATCTCAGTCCTTGGAGCAGAACATCTGTTATAATAGTCCAAGTCAGGAGACATGCCATTAGCTGCATTCCAAAGGAATAAACCATACTGCCCCATGTAAGGAGAGTACGATACTCTATTCTTGAAATTGCAAATTAACATACACTGTTCTATCTACAATGGAATAGGAATAAGGGATTCATTGAAAAAATTAAAATGGGCCATAATTTCCTGTTGAAGACATTTACATTATTCTATTTATGTGTTTTTTTCAAAGAATATTAGTACAAAGAGAAAGACAAAACCAATTCATCTCATTAAATACCAACATGCAGAGACAAGAGTAGGAGCTACAGCTTAAAGCTCAGACAGGATAGTATTTGGTGTAAACATAATCCAACCAATTTCAACTTGCGGTACCACCTATTTACTGCTAAAATAATCTCAGTAAGGATAACTGTCCTGTTTGGCAGTTCACAATAAAAGGAAGCATGATGAATTTTTGTACCATTTCTGCTGATGCAGTGAAGAGTCTTCTGCTTCCTTAGTTTGAACAACACCATCTAAAAATAAGAAATGCAGGAAGATATTCTATATTTACCTATACAAACCAGGTACTTCCAGAATATCCCAGTAACACTGGAAAATTAATTTGCTAGCAATCAGGTTACAATTGTAAGCATAACTCTGGCATTTATGTCAGGTGATTCCAACTTAGAAAGATTTCAATCAATTTAATAATTCAAATGAAATTTCAACTACAAAATATTACAGGTGATATTAAAAAAATAAATCACATTTTTCAGGTAACAAAGGTCTTCTCAGTCTTCCAAACATAAGTTTAACAGATCCCTGAAACAACTAGTAGTAATATTACTACCAATCACAGCTCAAAACATGGCATTACTGTCACTTACCAGGTGGTATATAAAAAAAATAACCTACAATAAACATTCCAGGACCTTGGGATTTTTTTCCCCCCTCCACCACTCAACCCTCATCTCTCCAAACTGAGATTTCAACTAAAGTCATATCATTTTCTGTTCTCTTCTATGGCTAACATCAAGGCATATGCTTTCTCTTGACTGAATACCAAGTCCCTGAACACTAGATTAAAAGGAAAAGCTGTCTTCTACCATCCTAAATCTATATAATAAAAGTTAGACTTCTCAGTGAACAACGCTCTAATTCACTTCTTCCAATGCTATGGCCTTTGACAGCAAAACATTCATCCTCTTCTCGGTAGTTAAAATTTCCTGCTCCCACATTGAAGAGCTAAACAATTCTTAGTATTTTAAGGACAATGAATTCCCAAAGTAGTAGAAAAGCTATATTAACATGGCTTATTCACACAGCATCTTCAGACTGCTAACCAGGACTTACTCTAAAGATCAGCTATGCTATACTGTCCTGCGTACTCAGAGAAGTCTGCACTGTTAACTGAAAAGTCCATCTAGGCACTTAACTTGAGAACAAGTCTGAGAAGTTTTCGGAAAATTATGAGAATGCTTACCATGCAGATGATTCCCCATAGTCACTCTAGAAGAATTACAGTTTTCTGAAGGATTTTCCTTTAAGGACACATCCTGCAGTTCAGACACATTTTCAGGACTAGCTGCATCCTCCTTTATGCTTCTGAATACAGGAGGACATACTTTTAAAATTAAATGTTTTAAAATGTTAACTATTCAAAGGACTCCTAAATGAGAGTTGGAAACTCTATTTAAGTTTTTAATTTTAACATATATGGAAAATAGTGCAGAACTTTTAAAATGCAATTCTACACAAAAACCAACCAAATTACTGTCTTAATTTTAGCTGGGATTTAATTGTTTTCTTCAGCATCTGATACGATGCTGTTTTGGTTCTAGGACAAAAACAATAACGCACCAATGTTTAAAACACCAATTGTACAGAGCCAAGCCCACCGGCAGCAAAGGGCCCAAGGAGCTGAAAGGGAACAGAATTTTGACAGCTGACTTAAAGCAGCCATAAGGATATTCCATACCATACAACATCATGCAGAAGGAGTAATGAAGGGGGTCAAGAGGTGGAAGGAAAGTTTATCTCTCACTCTTCTGCTGCTTGGGGAGCTAGCATGGCATCTGTCAGAGGCTGGCGAGCAACTGCTTGTGCATCACTAATCATTTATAAAACCACACACACACACTCTATAATTAACCTTTTCTTGATCTTAGTAAATAGCTTCATTTCCATCCATGAGTTCTATTTTTTTTCTTTTTTTAAAATTCTTCCCCATCCCACTGGGAAGGAGGGAAAAAAACAAGTAAATGACTGTAGTGCTTAGCTACCTGCCAGGAATTTTTTTTTTTAAAACAGCATCGTGCAGAGTTGTTGCTATAAAAAGCATTACATAACCCCACTCATTAAAGAGCAGTACCCTAATTAGTTAGATGAGAGCAGATATCACAAACAATATCATCTGTTTAAATAAAAAATCATACTCTCCAATGAATAATGTAAATATCCAGTTATCTTCCTCATAAAACATTAGTTGAAAATAATTTGGAAACACTCACAAAGGCTCCAAATTCTTTGTGTGACTTAACTTCACATGCTCACACAACTTCTGAAGTTGCAATATATGTTCTGGATTATCAGTTCCCAGACCCGTAGACAAAATCTCAGATCGCACGCTGTATTCATTGACATACATCTTCAAATCTGAAAGCCTGGTAACCCGGACCTTGAATTACAAAATGTACTACATAAAAACCACAGCTCAGATTGCATCTCTCCAACTCTACACTATTGTTTAGCTAAAAACTTTAGACATTTGCCCATTTGTTTCTGATTTTTCAAATGGTGAATAACTTACTAACATTTTCAAAATATCAGCATTTTTTTAATTGTAGTAATTTCTCAAAAAAAACCCAATAGCTAGTCCATCTAAAAGAATCAGCCTAGTAAGTAGGTAGAAAAACTTTAGAAATTATTCCAAAAATTACAACCAAAATATACACCATACAGTTGTAACTACTTCTCTAGGTCCCTCGGTTTATGGAGGGAAAAAAAAAAAGCTAAAAATCAAAAGGAAAAGTTGAGATACCATACTAGAAAGGAAGTACGGAAGAAAATCATTTGCAAATAATTTTCTCTTTCCATTCAATTTTTCTGTTCATTGAATGGACAGGATAACAAAGCACAGCACATTTTAATGTACAGAAACAGCCTAGTGTACTCCTGAGCAGAACCAAAACAGAAAAAAATGCATCACGATCCTGACATAAGAGGATACCTCATCAACGTCTCCTGACCTTAAAAAGATTCTGCAACCTCTGAGCTATGTTTGATAGCAATTCTTCATAGAACTCCCAGCTCTTAAAATTATTTTTGACAGACAACACGTCTTTTATGCCTTTCCTAATAGCATGAACAAACATCTGATTTTTCTAATTTTCTTAGCTTGCTATTACGTTCCAGTCAGCACTTTCAGCACAGATACTTGCTCCAGTCCAGTACAGCAATTCTTACGGGCCAGGGAATTGATAGAAAAATATGAACATGGCACTGACCTCAACATGCTACTTTCAAGAAAATTAAAAAGTCAATTTTGACAGAAAAAGTAATTTCATCGCATCTGATTACCACAGTGACACAGCACAACAAAAACAAAAACTTTAACATCTTATACATGCAGTCTTTATAGCTGATTGATTGCTATGGAGATGATTCTGGATGCTGACAAAAAAATCCCATTTATGAAAAATGCATACACCATTGCCCATTAGTTTTCCACAAGACCAAGAAATCATCCAGATTTTAGTAGAAGTGTAAAAAATAAAAAACTACAGAAACAAGAGCTCTCATTCTTCCTATCCTGATGAAAAAAGCTAATGGAAAAAAAACACTTAAAGGCTTCTTTTAAACTGCAGGAAAAAAACCAAAACTGGCTACAGGTTTGAAAGAAAAGAAAAAAAGTAATTCAAAAAGATCAACAAATCTGAAAGTGATCAGCAACTTTAATGACTGAATAAAAAAAATTGTAATACAACTAGTTACACAACAATCAATCACTCTCAGTGTGAACAAGTGGCACGTTCCCTCCTGTCCCACTCCCAGCTGGTGCAAGAACCAGAAGACCGTAAAGACTTAAAAATATAATCAGAATAAACTAAGACTAGTATTAAAGGTCTTAGATACTTGGAAACAATCTCAGAGCATATCCACCTGGACAAGATATCCAGATGGCTTCTTAGTATATCCAGCAACAGAATATACAAGCTTCCAGTCTATTTTTGTTCTCAGTCACACCCGAATAACACTAATTAAAATCAAAATAGGAACCAAGAGAAGAACAGATATGAATGAATATTCTTAGTGTAAAGAAGTATGGTTAGAAACATGCATCTATACATACCATTGGGTCAATCCAAACTGTATTTCCTAAAGTAAATATTACCTTCGCTTCATGTGGTTTCCTTTCAATTTTCTGATGAATATAACGAGTCACCTAGGGAAAACAAAACCATCTTTGAAATGTATAGCAACACAAATTGCCAGTAATTTCAATTGTAATGAAAATCTTCTGAGCTTAACAATAAAGTATTGACTAAATAAAAGCATGATTTTGCGTAGAGTAATGAAATACTAAAACCACACCACGGATTATGTGTTCATATCATTCTGTAAGTGGAAAGATATGCAAAACAGGTCAATTTAAAGGCTGCCCCTCCCCCCACAGATCTGATAGCAGCAATAACTTGTTCTGGAAGAAGTCATTTAAATCATATATAATAAAATTCCACAATTTCACTATTTTTCTTAGCCTACAAAATAGCAGTTAGCTTCTCAGAATCAAGCCCACCATCAGTTATTCATTCGTAACACTAATAAGCAATGAAATTGGTAACTAAGTTCACAGTTCATAACTGTTTTCTTACAGAAAGTAAACACACAAATTAAAGAACTTCAGGAAAAATACTATGAAAGAAACCTTATTACCCTTGGGTTCCACTCAGTGTCATTATCAATAGGTTTAACTCTACAAACTACAAATTCCACAGCCTGAGGTGGCAGATGCTGAAATCTTGCAGGTAAGTGAAGAAGCTGAGAGGACTGAACTTGACTAGTTCTGCCTTCATCTACATATTTAATTTTGATGTTAAAATTTTCTTCTTCTTTTGAAGAAGTCTCTACCACCTGGACCCTTCATAGTGGAAGAAGAAAACACAATTAATATTCATACAATCCATTAAGAAGTATTCATCTACTTTTCACAAGAAGTAGAAAACTCATAGTCAAACATCTAACTGTTTGGTTATGGGGATACGTATTTGGATTTTCCACTGGGCAAATCACACTTTTTAAAAAAATTTCTTTGTTTTAAAGACTGATTTGTATTGCAGTCATTTCTTGCTGTTTTTAGAACACAGTGTGGAGGCAGGGTTTGGTTTGTTTTTTTTTTTTTAAATCAAACATTGAACATTTTTAATATATTAAAAAAGCATACATGAACAAATAAAAACCAAACACCTTTACCTGTGAAAGACTGTTTCCTCACAGAATCCATACAAAGCTAGCTTCTCTACCTTTTGAGCAGCAACTCTATTACTAGTCTCCTTAAAATACTCATTGATTTCTTCAGCAAGAACCGTATATTGGTCCTTTTCTTTATCTACTATACGACCAAAGTAATTTGTTGCATTTACAATGTGGAGAGGCAGTACCTGAAAGCAGAACATAAATTGGGAGGGTAGGGAAAGAAGAGTGATTATTTCTGAAAAATGAGATGTGATATAGATATATAGAAATAAACATAACATAAACCTTCTTCACAGTGAAAGCTAGGATAAAGACCTCATCATTATCAACACAGAAGTAAATCAGAGGCCAACTCTGCAAAACAATTTCAGTTCAAACTAGTGATAAAGAAAAAATCTGGCACATTTGATGCTGCAACCCCTTCAACAGACAGACCAAAAAAGCTAAACAAGAACAAATATTCCAGAAATACAATATACATACTACAATAGTATTAATATAATTTGAAAAAAATAAGTACTGTGCTGAAACAGCTACTTAAGACCTGCCTTCCTAGTACCCAGTACAAAATAATTAAAACAACTTACTGTCACATATCCAGATGTTTGTATAGTTTTAGATGCCATATTCTGGAGCATGTCTATTTGTAAATTAATTTCATGACGATCTGGACACGCTGTTCTATTCCTACATAAAAAAACCCATGAGTAAAATCTGATGTGATGTACCCAACAGGATAATTCACGAAGGAAGTAGATTAAGTCATTATTCAGGGCATACACTTGTGCAACAAGGAATAAGCAGCTTTAAGATAATATATTATGTCCTTACTTGCAAGTCCCAAACATTTTAAGACAGGTGCACAATGGCCTTGCAAACTTCTTTTCTTCAGCTTCTAGCACCCCAGACAATCCTGGTGGAATGTCAGCTTCAGCACGCTCCAAATAGCGCAGGATACCAACAGTATGGCACTCACTGTTTTCTGTTAGCATTATGACTGACCTTGCCTGTTGATGGTCCTGATCAGATGAATCCTAAAAATACATACTTCTTCAGCTTTTATTTATCCACTAGTAAATCACACATTAATATCAATTTGCTGAAGATTCACTCAAACCTTTATCGTATTATGGAAGTTGTCAGACATGCTGTATAGACGCTGACCGAAGATTGTTGGAGAAGAAGGAAAACTGAAATGTATCACACAAGATGCATCTGTAATCTCCAAGAACTGCATGCAGTCATCTGTTAGAACTGAACACATGGTTTACAAATAAGGCAACCGATATATTTGTGATGTAATGCTTCACATGCCTCATTTTCAATGGCTGCTTCCTCCTCCTCATCCACTGACTTAAAGGTCTTTTCCCTATATAGATTAATACGATACTACTTTTTTTCAGTAAACATTTCTGAAGTATATAGAACACAGTATTACATCACCTCTAGTTCAGTTTGGTATCTTGTAAGAATATAAATAAAGAAATACCATAGGCCACAGACAGATATCTTACTAGAGTAAAATTGAAAACATTTCCAGTAACAGAAATGCTAACATCTTTGTATAAACCTATGAATCAGATACAATTAAGTCAATCTTCTTGTTCTGACGTATAAAAGGGAGAAAATTATGTTTAAGACCAGGTAAGAGTCTTTGCAATTGCAAGCAACTCAAGAAGCAAAAGCTCCACCAGAGCATAAGGGAAATAATTATGTTATGACTTCAGAAGTTCCAAATTTCAAACTGAAAATATCCTCCGCACTAGCAGCACATCATGAAACCAGGGAAGTTCTCATAAGAAAAAAAAAAATTAGAATATATAGCACTAACAAATAAAGAGACAACTGAAAGTAATTTGGACAGAATTGACCTTGCAAAGTGAAGAGAACCTAATATAATTATTTAATGTAGGACATTAAGTCACCATGAAGAAATAAACAGACAACTGGAAAACAACAGAATACGCACCTAACACAACACGACTGCCACTGCTGAAGCTTTTTGTCCAATGCTCTAAGAAATCCTTGAAATTAAACTCTATTTCCTTATGTATTTTGAAGGCTAATATTGAGTTGCTCTTCAGTGCCTGATGACAAAATAAAAACCATGTGTTCTTCCAATACAGTAATAACTGCTCTAAGAAACTTAGTAATCTTAGTATCAAGCATACCCTTGCTAATATAAAGAACTGAAGGCAAGGGGGAAAAATAGTGAAGTTCTTAGGTTGTTTATATGAAAAATACTAAAGATGAAGGTTAATCATCTCCTGCACAAAGCAAAAACTATTAATGTTGGCCACTACATGGAACTTAATACTTGCATTCTTTTGTATGTCATTTGAGATGTGCAAAGTTGGAATATACGATTACTAAAAACTCCCTCTAAAAGCATAAACATCATCTGTAGCACTGACAAATATATCTTTTTTTTTTTTTTTTTCCTTTGAAGTGGTGTTATCTTTGAAGAGTGAAAGTTAACCCTCAGACATTAACATATACATAAATTTAGGTACTTTGTTGTTACCTTATGTACTATTTCTACTTCATCTACGGAATTAGTGAAAACCAGCACCTTCTGAAGATTATTAGGGGTAAAATCCATTATTTTGAGCAACACAGCAGTTCTCTCACTGCTCACACAACGCTGCACAACCTAGAAATTGATATAAAATAGATAGCTGCTAATTAATATAATCTATGCACATCTCACTACATAATCTTCCTTTTAATGAGTATGGTGCATTTGTACATAAATCATGATAGAAAAGGTAAATGTTCGCTCTTCAGTTTACAGAAAATACAATTCTCAGAGATAAACTTACAGACAGCTTCTAGAAGAATATATTCACATCAAAATTAAAATCCTATATTTAAACATTTGATAATAATGTTCCATTAAAATTACAGCTATGATTTCTCAATCATGCAGTGTTAAATGATTTTTTTTTCAGTTAAGCTTCGACATTTTCAAGTACCACTAAAAAAATTAATTTTTTAAATAATGCTTAAGAAGTGCACTGCACTTCCTGGAATAGTTCTATTACATAAAGCATGAAAATGCTCACATTTTCATTTCTGCTCAACCATTTATTAGACTTCTCACTGGAAGGGATGTCTCTTCTCCTTTTGGACTTCAATACCTCATGTTGCAAGTAAAATTTCCAATTCTAAATCATTTTTAGATACAGCAAAATTCAGGCTGCACTTAAGATCTTTTGTATTATTCTTCTTAAGGGCTCCACTGGATTTCCCAGCAATTAACAAACATCTAAGAGCTCTTAATATCTTCTTGACTTAAGATTTAGAAAAGTAAGTTCTTCACTGTTGGTCTGCCATGCAGTGAAATTGTTTTTTAGTAGTTGTATTTTAGGAAGACTTGCCTTGTAGTTCTGCCACTCACAATGAACAGGTGCAAGAACTTTCTAATTTTTTTTTTTGCCACAAAATATAATTTGCAAATGCTTACATAAAATTCAGACTCATTTGCACTACAGTGGATAGTTGAGGGAACATCTTCACCTCAGCCCTAGGAAAAAAAGTTAAATCACATTCAGCTAATGCAGAGATAATTTTGTATGTCTTCTAAGAATCACCTCAGTTCATATGTGGGAGGTACACCTGACCAACTTGAACTGCAATTCCAGCACTATCCAGTCAAAAAACAAAAAACCCTTGATCATTATGAACAATTGACTGAGCTTGGTCATTATAAGCAATAGAATTGCTTAGTTAACAAATAATGACATCAGCTCCAAGTTTTTACCTGTTGCACATTTCCATAAATGGAAGCTTCTTCCAAAGCTGTTATCACAATGTAAGGATCATTCATGAACTCCTTTATTAAACGTCCTATATGCTTATTCCACTGAGTTCCAACAGCAATAATTTGATGTGGTGAGTATTTCCATTCCTCATTAACAAGGTTTTTCTTGTAGTAACCTAGTATAACAAAAACCTATAAAACAAGAAAGTTTTGCAGTCTTATCTCATTCCAATGACTTTGTAAAAGCAGCAGATTTTTACTCTGCTCTTCCTGTCACAAACTAAATTAAATCCACCAAAAAACTCCACACCACCCCCAAGACTCAAGTTTCTACAAAACAAAAGTTCGTGGTTTCTGTGCTTTCACTCTATTATTTTAATACCCTCTGAAGCCAGAAGTGAGAACGTGAAGCAATTGTGCTCACATGCATACAAACCAACCTACACCCTCTCTCAAATTGATGGTATTTATTGATAATTGCTAAGAACCAAACAAGCTAAACAGGACCTTGATAAAAAACGACACCTTAAGATAAAAAGGTTATTTGAAGGCTGGTAAAAATGCATATGCAACCTAATTAGCTGGGAACTTAATGCTATTCCACTTCTAAGATCATTAGTGTTGGGACCAGCTTCTCCTTGCCAACAGTGACAACAAAGCCAAAGAAAAAACTTTTCTATTACTTCTGAGAGTATGTAGTCATTCACTTCTGCCTTTCATTCTACAAGAACTAAGGAGCTTACCAACAGAGAATGTTCTTGAACGATAGTTGTTCATAACATCTGATAAAAATGTTATAACAACTGATAAGACGGAAAAGTTCCTTAGAGGCAGAGGATGCACGTCTTAAAAGGAGATTAAGAACTCCTACACAGAAGGTACTGCTAACAAACTAATAATCCAAATGTTTGGGAGACCATTCACAGCAAATGAAGAAAGCATGATGGTGCAGTGGCATTAAACAAGACAACTTTCCAAATAATAATGATAAAAACCCAACCAGACAAAAAAATATGAAAATTTTTGAAATATGAAAATAAGGGAAGTTACATTAATAGATGTAATGCTAAATGCAATGTAAAGCACAGCAATGATAGCAGGGTAGCAAAGTCCTAAGCCGCAGCAAGCGAGGATAAGCCCAAATGCAGCAGCCACAAACACAAAAACAAAGGAAGAAGTCTGTTACCCTTAGAAGGCCTCAGGTATGCAGGGATTTCCAGAGAGATACCTTCACCTCCACTCCAACCCTTAAATGAGGGCTGGGAAGGGGTGCATCCCAGCTCCACCTTTTCTGGACACTCAGGTGCACTGCATGCACTGAGCTCCCCTGGGCTGGCCCTGCCTTCCCACCAGGTGCTCAATCTCTACTTCAAGCCATGAATTAGCATTTCTGCTACAACAGACTGTAAGACTATAAGAGTATTTTTCCAGTGTTTCAATCGACCCAAAACATGTACACAACTCTTTTTTGTTGTTGTTGTTTTTTTTTTAAATTCCTTTGTCTTTTCTCAACCCTACTACAGGGTTTGAAGAAAGCTAGTTATCTATATTGTATCCACTGTCTTCAAGACTGCTAGGGGCATTAGAACTGAAAGGCATTTTACCATCAGAACGCACGACCCATTTACCTGTTCAGCAGCTTCAGAGAATAGTACCTCAATTTCATCCAAAATAAGATGGCAGAGTCCCGAAAACAAGAAAAGGTGATGTTCATACAATCTTAGGAGGCTATACGGTGTAGTCACAATTATTTCACCTACAAGTTAGAGAAAAAAAGCTATTAGTAATTTGTAACCTCAAAGAATACAAGTAAAAACACTGTCGGGCACAAGACCACTAAATGATTTCTTCAGGTACTCTTCTCTAACCTGTATGATTCTATATCTATCTATCTATCTATATATTTTCAAGGAGAATAAGATAATGAAAAATTTCTGTAGCGGAGCAGTTAAGATGTCCACTTTTATATGTCAAATCTGAAGTGATATAAAGAAAATGTATTTATTTCTGCTCCTTAACACTAAGTACCAGGAAGTTACAGAAATTTAGAAAACATGAGAAGCACGAACGTAACCAGTTAATGAAGTAGGATACCACTTCATTTTCCAATAAGGTAACAGCCCCCAGGAAAAGAAAACTTCAGAAGCAGATAAGGAGAATTTAAATGCTGCTTGCAAAAGCAGCCTCCACATTAGAAAAAAAGTTAAAAAAGGAATCAAACACACACTGTAGCTGAAACACTCACACAACCCTGATATGTGTAAACATACAAACAGGTATTATAAGACATCTTAATTAATCTATCAGGCACTTAACCTTGAACAAAGGGTATAAAAACAGATGCTCAGGTATCAACAAAATGCTATTACAAATTTAGTTTCAAATCAAGGAAGTCCGTGATCAATCCTGATATGGCATAACCTTCATGAAATCCTAACCTAGTGAAAAAATAATTATGGAGTTCATTTAAAAAAAAAGACATAGAGGTAGTAAAATAGCCTTAATACAATTTACTGTTAAGTAGTACTGCTGAGCTTCACACGTATCACTATGGAGTTAGTGCATTAAATAAACAGTATACTATTATAAATGAGTAACTTAATTACTTCTTTCACAATTTCCTGACATTAAGACAGCCCACGTTGTTTTCAAGCATCATTAAGAAAATAAAAAATATTCTTACATCCTTGGATTTTCACTGTTTCAGCTTCTTCTTTTTTCTTCCCAAGTATAATCAATGTTGGACGAATCAGTCTAGAGCATCTGCTGTATTTTTTCAGTAACTCAAAAACAAGCTGTGCCTTCCTCCAACCAGGACATAAAATAAGCACCAGCGGCTACATATGTATACACACAATTTACATTGTATTACTTACAATTCTTAACTTTTATCTAAAACTTGTATCATCTAATAAACACAGATGTTACAGATCCAAGAAACCACATACCAGGTTACCCTGAGACAAGGATGCATGCAGTAACTAGCATAAAAAGTCTAAAAATTTAACAGCAGTATCATCTGATCTTAGCTTGCACTACATCACCTACACAGAAGACCTTCACAACTTCAGTAGTTCTATTCTTTTGAGATCTAATACAGAACAATTTTCAGTATTTCAAACAGCTAACACAAATACAAATTCAGTGAAAACAGACTAACCCTATAAAAATAAAGAATCAAAGTGATGTAACAATGATCACTTGTTAAGTATTACTTGCTATGTCTGACTGTTGTATTCACAAAGTCCAACTGTGTAAGCAGAAAAAACTGGCAAACTTCATGAAGATCACATTAGATACATACATTCTGGATATCCACTTTTTTTTTGCATTATTATACTACATCTGCACTCCAGAAAATCTGATAGTACGTTAATACATACATACTCCATTTCTTTTTGGCAAGGCTTTGTAGCAGCTTTCCACTTGCAAGAAAGCAAGAACTGGAGGAATATATAAGAAAGGGTCATTTCCTTGATAGGAGATGGCAACTACATCACATCCTCGAGCTATTGCTGGCCAAGAGTAAGATTCTGTGAAGTCAGGGCCTAAAAACTTATCCTGAGCAAGTTCCTAAAGAATGAAACATTAAGAGTTCCATGTGAAAACGGTACACTAACTTACAAAACTAGACAAAACATGGAGTGCTTTTAAGAGCTTTCTGATCCATTTCACAATAAATATCCTTAACACAGAATACAAAAAAAAAGAATTAAATTACTATATTAAAATGACATGACTAATGGTTAATATGCCAGGAGAAACCTATATGATGCTTACAGGTGTCTGTCAACATCTCTTTAAAGCTTCATTTATTTCATCACATGAAAAACATCTTAAGGCATTCCTCAATCAAAATAAAACATTATTATAGTAGCATAATTAGTTTATAAAGTGAGAACACTATACACTTGTTAGGAGAAATTCAGCATAAAATCAGATATCAGTGTTACCTTTTTCAGATTATCATGAAGTGGCGCTTTTTCCAAAATTGAAGTTGGTTCAATTTTGTTGCTAAGAAAGACAAAGCTTTGTTCTTCTCTAAGATTTTGAAATTTCTGAAATCATGTGAGTAGAAGACAGTATTGAAGGCAATACATAACAAAACATCAAGAAGCTGTAAAAGATGCTTCAGCTGACCGTTCACAGAAGCAGAGCAGGATAATCATCTACTGCTAACAATATGATTTCCATTTTTTTCCTCTCCCCCAAAATTTCTTCATTAGGTATTTCACTTTAAGTTCTGTAGTGATTGTCACCCTCCAATACTCATCAAAACTTAAAAGAAAATCAGTTTCTGTTCAACTCATTTTTCCATCCAAGCTGATAGAAGAACTAGTTATATTGCATAAAAAAAAGTCTCTTTAAATCATCTAGCATAACATGACAAAAACCATCATGTTCACTCTTTAAAAAGCAGAGAGAGGATCCATTCACCAGTCATTATTTGCCTAGAATTTACAGATTCATACTCCCTTTCTCTCACTGATATTGTAACTACCTTCAACTGTGCCAGTAACCAACTCAGCATTCATGGGCTGATCTCTTTAAAATAGTTCTGAAAACAACAGCAAGCAAAAAACAACCAAGAAAGTAGATTAGACATTAGAAATATTAAAGAACAAGTAAGAATAACTCCAAGGAATGTATACCATAATGACTACTTTGTTTTCAGAACAGCACTAAAGCTCACCTTCTTTCATTTTCAGAAAACCAAAAGTCCTACTGTAGACAGCTACCACCTTCATAAAACCACAGCAAAGGAGAGTAAAAAGAAGGCACAATCTTTTCAAGGACTACAGTTTTTTTGGTTTTTTTTTTAGTTTTTTTTTTTTTTTTAAATACTCCTCCATGTAAAGAAAGAACATTCTCCTTCAACTATAAAAAGAATTAGCATGGTCTCACAGACTTAAGTTATGCAGAAGAACTGGACAGATGACTACAGTATTCCTTATCTGTCTGATGTAACAAGTTGTCAAAGGTGAATTTGATTAAATGTACAAAACAATACTTACAGGTTCATTATTTTCATTGAGATGCATGTTTGACCTTCTGTATGTCTTTTCAAGAGAGGAACCAGAAACAGAATAACCTAGGAAGAAGAAATTTTCAAGTTACCTAAACACGTGAAAAACCATTATTATTATTATTTACAGCCAAGGTTAACATTGGTTTTGTTTAGTTTCTTGTATCATTTGCTAATAGTAAAAAAAAAAAACAAAAAACCTCCATCAGGATGGAAAGTTGCATATTTTTTAATGGACTTGAATCACTACAAATGGCACAACTTGTAAATCCTACAGTTTTACAACTACTTCTGTTTAAAATAAACCCATTCAAACGAAAAAACAGAAATGCATCAAACAAGTAATTTCAATAACACATAATGCTATTAAGCACATTAACAAACACCAATACAACTCACTGTTTTTGTCTTATGCACCACAAAAAAAAGAACAGCTCAAAGTATTCCTGCATCTGATTTGATGACCATGAACTCACTACGCTGTTTGATTCAATTACTGGATTCAAACTGAGACAGCAAGCTCAGGTTCAGTATGTCCAATTAGAGATACACAACATATTGTATGTTTCTGACATACATTGTCCCCACCTGCTTCAAGATTCATTGGTACCTTCTCTTGCAACCGCACTGGCCTGAAAGCAAGTGCTGGATTAACAATTTCTACTGGAGGAGAATCAACATTTAATGATGTCTGGTTATCTTGCTCTTTTGTTGGACTTTGAATATTCTCTTTAGCTTCCTCAAAATGAGCAAACTTCTTTAAGACAAGATCATCATTAATGCATACCTAAAAAAAAAAAGATGATCCTTGACCAGTATCAATATCACATACTTAGAGTATATTTCGAACTTTAAACAGTAGTAACACTTAAACAGTATTAGTGCTTTTTGAATAATGTTAAATCCAGAATAGGAAAGGAAGCCATATCTTCCAGTACCTTCTCAAAACAGATTTTAAATAGCTGTAAATTTCATGCTTCTCCAGAAAATTTTGTATTCCAATAACCTTTTCTGTCAGCCCTAAAAATTCAAAACTATTAAGAAAACCAGGTTATTATTTTGACACAGAAGGAATCAAAGTGTGGCAGACAAAAGGTATTACTATACCAAAACTCCAGAACTCCACCGGCTCATAGATCAGCGACTGTATTAACAATTATGATTCTGCGTGAAGGTCTCAGACTTCACACATACCTGAAAAGTTATTGTCTATGGCAAAGACCACAGCTCCAGGGCTAAAAGTGTTGGCAGAACACTCCAAACAGATGCAAATGAATCGTTTTGTAACTACAGTATGGCTGCATAAGCCTGACAGTGGCCACAGTAAAGTATTAGCAGAAGTTACACATTTTGGCAACTGGAGCTAGTTTTCCCCAAGGTTTGAGGATGAAGTCTTGAGTAAAAGCAAGCATGAACTGGTATTCAAAGGTTTTTCAATTACTCAATTGCAAAATACTATTTAAAAATACCAAAAAAGCAAACAAGTGCACTAAATAATTCACTTTGCTGTCCATTTCAATTACTATTTGCATATTTTTATTTTTAAAGTTACATCTCACTTAAAATGAAAGTGCTCTGGTTTTAACACTATTAGCATTCACATATATATATTTTTAAGTCTCTTCCTAATACAGATACCATTATATTTGCTTCTTTCTTAAAAAATAAAAGATTGGAATAATAATTAAGAGAGTAACTTAATCTATTACTTCAATTTTTAACGACTGAAATATCTTTAATGAGTAACACAGCATTTACTGTATCTGACAAATGACAAAACTCATTACTAATGCTTTCCAGCCTTAAAAATTGCAAAATTATGATTTTTTTTTTTTTTTACTGTGAAGTGTACCAACAGGTTTGTAGATATAGATGTATCCTACCTTTTCATCTTCTATTGTCACATAAAGAATAACATGAAATGTATTATCTTCCACAGAACATAACTTCGCTTTGATTTGGGTAGTTGCTAAAAAGTAGCAATAAACAAGAAGTTCTATTAACCTCTTATTATTAGTATTTTTCAAACACACAAATAAAAAGAACAATTAGATGAATGCGATCTATTACTTTCAAGAGAAACTAGCACAAATGTTTTGATTTTTAAAAGGAACAGGAATCTAATAAGGCAAAAAAACCTTAACATTAGAAAAGCATCGTTCTCAGTCTCTGAAGGAAGACAGAGTTGGAACAGACCAGTGACTGGTCCACAAATACCAGTCATAGTCACCACACCAGAAGTATTTATATTCTACCCTCAGATGAACAATGCAGAGTACAAATGCATACTTTCCTACCTTGACAATTTTTCTGAAAGAAGGTATATTTGCACGTTTGCAAAGTTTGGTTAGGATATTAATTAAAAAAACAACCCTAGCAGATAAATTATGTCTATCACAAAATTCTTAAGTATTTCCCCTGCACACACTACTGATGTACCAGCAATAATAATAATAATTAAAAAGAGCTCATAATATTGCTTACCACAGTCTGGGAATGTTTGTGAAATCGAGTTAATATTGCTGCTGCTCCTTACTACCCTCTGCATAGCAATATTTCACACTTAGATGTGCAAACACACAACCTAAACAATGACAAGTGCCATGTTCCCACTATGGTGTGGAATTATTAGCCTTAACAGTCCTTATTGTTATTATGAGCTCATCCACTTCTTCCCAAATATCAATTTGTATCGAGTATGCTGTACTTCCAAGTAAGCAGGTAGGAAGACTTTCAGTAGAAGCACATAAGATCAGACAAACTCAGCAAAGAACTGGTTTGAAAGATCAAAAGCTCTCTCATACCAGAATAGAATGCTTGATATGAAGAAGTCTGGATGAGCTACTAAAACGCCACACACGATTAAGGACACGAACAGAGCAGAGAGCAAACCATTCTAGCTTACTTAGAAACTACTCTAAGCACAGTCCATTTGATAACGTAACTATAGTCAAGATAATCTCTTCTGAGCTGGTGTTTCACATTCCTGTCACACAACCAACAAAGACAGCTTTAAAGTTGATTCAAGGAATTAAGCTAAATACAAAGAAAGGCACCACTATTCAAAACCGCTGTTACATGAGTGCTACCTTATTCAACCTGCCCCCCCAAAAAAACCCACAGAAAGACACAACTTAGACACTTGCCACAATTTACACAGAATGGAAGTCATACTCAAGACACATGACTACATGTAATTTTGGCTAAGTCAATTCATACGGACAAAAAGAACCACGCAACTCATTTCTATTAAAAATTCAGTGAAAATTAAAAATGAATACATATTCAAGTACTATGTTTCTCTGACAACTTATTTTTCCCCAAAACAGAATTGCCAATTTTTACAAGAGTTTTACCTTCCAGAAGTCTTTGAAAATACCGCGTAGCAGCATTATCCCATCTTTTGGCTGGTCTAGGAAAACAAACACAACCAGTTATTCCACATTCACACCATCACAAATTCAAATGGTAATCTGAATAGTGAGGCACGTATAACAAAAAACTATCAAGTCCTGCTAAGTCTCAAAAACTGCATCTAACTGAAGCGTAAGCTGAAACTTAATATTTGAAATAACTCGGGTTTTGATGTATCAATTCATTCCTAAAACAAACTACTTGAAAATTAATGGATATTGCTTTGCCAATATATAATGAATACATCCAACATAGAACTAGTTAGAAATAAAATAGTGTAATGAGAAACAAAGCAAGAATCCACTTACGGAACACATTAATTACTTGAAATTATGTTGAACAATTTTACAGTGAGCACTTTATAAACTCTGAAATTCTAAAAATTTAAAGGATTGCAACAAAAACTTAAAATTGTCATTGTCACCTTCTGCAGCTGCAAATATAAAATATACAGATTCAACCAAAAAACAATATGCTCAGGTTCTCTCTACTCATCTACTAACCTCTTGATAATTCACAAAAATAGTCCACTCAAGATGCTATTTCTATCCAAACTAAGCTACTATTTTTTCCCCAACAGAGTATGCAAGTAAAACATTTTTTCTTTCAGTGTTTTAAAAACCACCTGTTGGACTACATCTAGTTTTGAACATCCTTTAATAACAGAAAACAGTTTTCTTGCTATAAAGTCATACTCCAACCCCATGATATAATTACATCTGACATATCTTTAACAATGACATTCTATAATTTAAAATAAGAACATTCAAGTGTTTCCCTTTACCAGCAGACTCTAAAGAAAACTTTTTCTCCAATCCTCCAGAGTTGATACAAAGATGACAAATACAACAGGAGACCAAAGCATTTCAAGGAGAGGAAAAAACCAAATCTATTTAAAAACATTATTAGAATTTCAGTTCAGGCAGAATGGGTAATAACCACAAACAAGACAGTCAGTAGAAAGATGAGAACCTCAAGAAAAAACACAGAAAGATGAACTGGCAGAGAAGCTCATGTACTAGCAACCAAGTAACATAGCTTGAGGATGGTAAGCAAAGGGCAAGAACTGCCAAATGCTCATCAAAATATCAAAAGGTTCAAACAGATGAGAAAACAAACCCCAAATGATTAGGGAAGGAATTTTATTTATGAATTGCTCTTGTAAAAAAAAAGTTTTATCCTTGAATGAAATTTTACATCTGAGAAATGCATGACAAGAATACAATTACAGAAACCTACTTACACTATTTTTGCTGTATCTTCACAGAGGTTGACATGCAATGTCACAGGCTTTGTGCAATACAATCCACATTTTTTTGCTCTAAATGGAATTTGCATAAATCCTTCCACTGCAACTCGAACACTTAAAAACAAAAAACAAATAATCTCATTTTACAGATTACATTCTTCTGGAGAAGAAGTCACTGGTGTTTCAAATATATCCTTTCATTATCCTATACGTGACAACAGTTCTTCTAGATGTTTGACTCCCACCATGAAACTCCACACTTCCTATTCAGCAGAGAAAGTTCAATTTAAAGTCTTTTCACGATACTTATTTGCATTTGTACTCCTTACCCTTAAAAAAGAAAAAGATATTATTTATATATTGGTCAAGACTCCAGTGAAAGCAACACAATATCGCTTATACATGGCTTGGTGGGAGACCAAATAACAAGTAACCAGTACATAACCAGAGTAATCAGTAAGACATCATCTATAGCAATCTTTTAAGACCCATATGTTATCACTCTTCTTCCAATCTGTAGTATACTGAAGCAGTATATTATGCATTTAATTATATGAGAACACATATTAAACTTATGGCATAGTCAAGTTGCTTTCTGATACAGAAACATTCAATTGAAAAACTCTTTAACTTAAGATTATAAATATTTATAATCTCTTCAAACAAATAAGTTTTCTTAAAAAACACCTGGTAAATGCTTTTGTTGGATATTTTGTTAAATAAATCTTAAATATAGCTGAGAAATGGAAGAGATTTTTTAAGATATGTTTTAAGATTTTAGAAACAGCGGGTTACATGGTGAATTTTTTTATTTTTTTTTTTTTAAATCAATCCCTTAATAACAGAGGAAAGTACATTTCAGCAACGCTAACTGGTAGTCGTATATTTCAATCATAACTGCCATATTTGAATCCCCAATGATAAAGGCTAGTAGTTTCTTGTGGACTCATTTCAATTAAGCCAGAGCCCTGTTAGTATTTAGTTAGAAAAATAGTCACAGTATTTTACATGCATATAATTTTTTTTTTTTTTAAAAAAGACACTTACTCCTTTGATTTAACAAAAGCGTATTTTGCATAATCCACTAGAAAACATTCTATTTGATAATGGTCTGCACAGTACATGATAGACTTAACAACTGCTCTACACCAGCACTTCAGCTCCTCGCTGAAAACCACACAAAGCTGAAAAAGAAACAAGACAATGGGTTCTCATGATCAGAACAAATTACACTGTTAGTTTACTTAGTGGCAAAAATGTGGTACTTTCTATATAGCCCTAGATTTACTTTGTAAATTGCAAGCATTATGGCTTATGTAGTTATAAAGCTAAACATAAAAAAAACCCATACTGATATTTTTTAAATTACTGCTATGAAATAAACTATAAAACAAACAAAAAGTTAACATATCTTGTGTACTTCACCCCTAAACCAATGCAAATATCACATTATTTCTTTTCACGTGTAGAACACATCAATGATTTTACCTGGTCTTTTTCTAATGTTATTGGCTTTACTTCATCTTCACAAGCTTTGTCATAGAACTCATTCATTTCTGCGTTCAGCTTTTTATACTCTATTTCATCAACTACATGAGGCCCGCATCCTTTCATAGTAACCCAAAAGCAACCTGGATCTTCAATCTGGTGTAAAAGGCAGACAAAAATAACAAATAATATCATCTCCACCTGAAGTGATAGGATACTTCTACGAACACCTGGGCAGTAAATGTAAAAATAAGATGCAGTCTTTGCCGAGGTACCTTAAAGTTATGAGAACTAACACTGAACAAACAATATTAGTAACAAAACATCTTCCAGGATCAAAGCTTTAGTTCAGTAAATGATTTCTCAATTTGCACTCTTCAGTACCACAATACCATATCCATTCTGAAAAGTTGCAGTATTATTTAAAAGACTTGTTAACTGAATATACTGTGTTAGCTGCAAACACATGAGCTTTTTACTTGAACATTACCTCTGAAGCATGCCAAAAAAACACCAATACATTATCTTCAGGTTCAGAGGGTCTACAAGACAGTTCATTTAAAATAGAGCCACAGCCTCTCAACTTTTTAAAACTCAACAACTTTTTATTTCCATACCAGTTTTTCAGATAATAAGGGGATTCAAGATTTGAGGAAAATATATTTCTGCATGATGTCCTACAGGATTCAGCAGAACAGTAGATGCTATATTTAAAATTATGCAGGATACCTTTCATTTTAAGTTTTAGCTGCATCCCTACTAACTTCTTTTCAGAGGAAATCAAGACAAAAATCAAAGTGAGAAAGCTTATATAATCCACGTACATCCCTACCACACATGTAAGAAATGACTACTGAACTGAAATAAAGGGAACATCTTAGTTGCAAACGTGACTTCCAGTTTCATTGAAATAAACACTGACCACCTTAACTTTTAAAAATAGCAGCATACCCGTAATACAAAGACCTCCATAATGCCCAGCCGTCGAGTTTTCTTCAACACTACTGTAAGAAACCAACAAACATTTAAAGCTTTGTTTTGAAGCACAACTAAGAAGTACACAACAAATACACATTTTTGCTACTTTTGTACAAAGCACTGCTTGAGTCAACTAATTTACATGTATAAAAGACTTCAAATTACGTTGAATCCTAATTGAGATTTGCCATCAACTTATTCACATACTGAAAACTGATGTGGTTGTGTAATAGAGAACACTTGTTATCCTCAACCTACCTGCAGGCCGTTATTTTATTCCCAAAGGCCCAAAGTCAGTATTTTGGTTATTGGTTAAAGGATTGCTACAACCTCACTACCTGACCAACTGGAGACCAACACCAGAGAGAAACTCAAACGTTACTACAAAGAAATAAACACAGACGTGAACCAGCCTGAATCAGTTTTAAACACCACATATTTCTATTGGTATTTCACACCACACTCACGCGGAACAGAATTACAGCACACACCACCGCATTATTCCAATCCTCACTTTATACCTTAACGTTACACCCTCCCTCAGAGAAGTAAAAACCTTGGCCGCACAACGCTGGAGCGGCCGCACAGCCCGCGCACCACCACAGAAAGTTCCACGGCGTTCCAGAAGCCCCGCCGCCTCCCGCGCTCACCCAAAAAGGGCGGGACGCGCCCTCAGGCCGCGCATGCGTAGCTCCGCCTCTCTGAGGTACGGGGAGGAGGAGGTGGGAAGGCGTCGTCGAGGCTGGAAGCAGTTTTGTTTTCGGCTCTTTAAACGCATTGTTGTGGAAATAAACGCAATAGGTGAGTGTCTCGCCTTTTTCCTGATCGTGCGCTTGGGCTCGGAGGGATAATGCTTGTGTGTGCCGCTGCCCGTGCCTCAAGTTGAGATTGGAAGGGCTGTAGAAGGAGAGCTGAGAGCGGCTGGAGGGGGCAGGCAGGGCTCGTCCTGCGGGGTCTGCCCGTGCTCCGTGTGGGGCTGTAATAGTCGGGGTCTTTAACGGCCAGGACCTCTGCGGTATGCCTTTCCCCTCAGAGTCTCTCAGTCTGAAGCACAGCATGTGTTGAAAGACTCGTGGAGGCAGAAGGAGATTGCACCTGCTGTTTCTCTCCTGGAATTCAGCTATGCTGAAGAGCATCTCCAACAGAAAATGACTGTTCCAACAGAAAATGACGCTAAATGATGACCACCTCATTAAATGCGGAGGTCGGTGCCCTGCATGTGGCAGGGGGGTTGGAGATAAATGATCCTTGAGGTCCCTTCCAACCCTGGCCATTCTGTGATCACAATCTGTGAGAAAACACCTACATCTCTTTTGATTATTATTATTCATTACTGTATATTCACCTTTCCATCTAGGCTTTTTTTTTTTTTTTGTGCCATCTGATATGTCTTTGTGCAAGGCTGCCTGGTCAACGTGCCTGCCCAAGGGCAGCAGGTGAAGCACGCAGCTGGAATCCGGTCTGTTCTTACAGTGCCTCAGTGTTTCAAATCTGCTCTAACCACCATTGTTTTTAACTTAATGCTACAAGATACTTACTGTCTGCGTATTGTAAAACATTGATGTTTCTATTTGACACTTATCTTCATTTTTAAAGCAAAATAGTATCTTTTCTGTTATTTTTATTGTTGCTTGGCCTTCAAGCTCCCCCTACTGGACCCTTTCACTTTTACCAGTGTAAAAAAACAAGATCCAGGAGACAATCTGGAGAGGCAGACTACGAATTTAAGCAGGTTGAAGTCACTACTTTTTGTCGTGCAGCAACACTTAAATAACCTATAGGAACATACTGCTTCATAAAAATTTCTGAAAAAAGTCTAACTTCGTAGCTGAATCATTTATTTCCTAAAAATACTTTCTCCTAGGACACATTTTCTACCACAAAAATAAACTGGTACAACCACCACAAGGCACAGAACAATAAGTAACGATCAAAAAGCCAGCCCATGAAATGTGAAAGATCACATTGCAAAAATGAAAGCAGGTGCAGATCACACATCTTCTTTATTATCGATTATCACAGAGATATGGTATTTTTAAGCCTTTATCTACAGAGCAGTTTCCCATTGCTGCTAGGCATGCTGCAAATGTTTTTCTGTCTCTGTCAATCTGACAGAGAATAACATTCATTTAGTTACATTTCTGTCTATCTGGTCAAAATAAGGAGCACACAACAAAATTTGGGAAGAAAAAAAATAAAGAGCTCAATCAATAGCGTATCTTCTCAGTGTAGTTCATCAAACAGCCCTGAATGGAATAACTTTGAAGCCAAGATACTTGTGTCAGACATAAGAAAAATACTGATAGGCATGCTTTTTTCCTCTTACCTACCTAGTATTACAGTGTCTGGTGTTAATCTCCAAGAGCTGAAAATCATGTCAGAGGGTAACACAGGATACATTCTTTGCTTCTTTCACGCTCCATTTTTCTAATTTTCCTGTGATCTTCATGTTCTAAAGAGTTAGCCAGAATATGATGAAGAAGGATGCTTCACAGTAGCAAGGGACTTCTAAACCTAGAACCATCTGAGCGTGTTCAATAAGAGAAAAAAAACAGGAACAATTTTCCAGTCCAAATGAATGCTACAAACAAATTCAATATAATGAAAATGCTGCAGAAAATTTTATTTTAATTGAAATACAGAACAAAAGTTGAAACAAAGCTTCCAGAACAGCTTTACTGTCTAATCGCAAGTCATCCTTCTTCTTCCAGATGAAGAAGGTATCTCATCACAGCTCCGTATACTCCACTTACTGCTCCCTGCCCACAAATAAATGATCAAAGAGTAGCTGACCTTCCTCTGAAGTCTTTAAATCTCAAAGACATGTTAAGAAGCACTGTGAGGGATATTGAAATGTGGAAGTAGTTGTTTCCAAGGCAGTACATTCTTTCCTGAAGTTTTTGAAATCTTTCTGGAGCTGAAAATTCATTTTTTCTTTTAAAATTACTATTAACTTGAAGGTAAAGGTTAGAGTGAATAAAAAGAATGCTTGTACTCCATTTGATAGCTGATAGTTTATGCCTAAATTATTACCTTTGAAAACTGTGATGTTTTGCATAAATTACTATTAACATAAATTATTTCATTTTATCAAATATAAATATTGTTTGGAATAAATATTTCATAGAATCATAGAAAGGCTTGGGTTGGAAGGGACCTCAAAGCCCATCCGTTCCAGCCCCTTGTCGTGGGCAAGGCTGCTCCCACCAGCTCAGGCTTGAGCACCTCCAGGGAGGGGACACCCAGGGTTTCTCTGGGCAGCTGTGCCAGTGCCCTACCACCCTCTCAGTAAAAAATTGAACGTTAGCTAACAAATCTATATATATTCACATACACAGTTTTTCCAAAATATGAAATACGTCAATAGGAATGGAACAGGAGATTCATTCATTTTTAGACATATGTTACAGCTGTCTAACACGCAACTTTAGAATAGTAAAATAATTCTTCAACTCAAAACATACTTGTTTTGAACATATGATACACCTTAATTTTCAGTGAGAAAAGGACCTCCGTGACCCAACAGACCAGCTGGAATACCACTACTGATATGTAAGTAGAATATGTTGGCAATTGCTCAGTATAATTGGTATCAAATCACTTTCAGGTTTGTGCAGGTAATTCAATTGGTGATTGCGTTAAATTTTCAGTAGCTTCTGAAGGTCATAACTGGCACAACTATGCAATTTCAAAGACTCAAAGGATTAGATATACAAATCTAAAACCTACAATCACATGAAATGCTTTGGTAAGGAATATTTAAGCCTATTGTCCTGAATACTTGGAAACTGTTAGAAAGGATGAGAAACACAGTGAATATGCATGTAATCAAACATATTCTAGCTTTAAACCAAATACATTATAATCTGCTATTGTAGTTTGAACTATCAGTGTTTATCATCAAGGGATTCATATGTTTATATTTTGCTTGAATATTAACATAGACAGCAAGACTGTTGGTATTTTTTATTACTATCCTGTGAAATATACTGCCCTCTTTCATGAGATCTTCAACCGTCTTATCTGTTGACATAGTTATTTTCTTTTCACCTGTATAATCTGGATCTTCTGGATATAACTCATCACCTGTAATACAAACAGACAACATTTAGTTATACAATGTCTATCTTATTCTACAGCTGTTTGATTGAGTGATAGTTGCAATTTAAAACAATAGTTATCAGGACGTGAGACTCAGTGGGAATAGATTTGATGAGTAAATAGTCGCTAAACATCTTCATATTTAATATTACAGCCATATATTCCTAAAGTATCTGCCAGTGACACAGTGAACGGTTCAGAGTTCTTGCTAATGCTAACATGCTGTAATCACAGCAATTACATCACTACACTATGATTGTGAAGACTTGTGTGCTTGATTCACTTGCCCTTATAATGGATAACTTAAGTCAATGAGAATTCTCATTGAAAAGAATTAAATGAGTTCTAATACATCCTTCATATTAAAAAAAAGAAAAAAAAGTTAATTTCTTCATAAATCTCTTATCAATGGCAACCATATGATACAATGAAATTAGGGGTAACAGTAGAAATCACCATGCTGCCCAAGTGGTCCAGGAGTTCATTTCTGACAGCAGCCATTATCAGCTGTATCAGAGAGCTGGAAGGTGGCAGAACAAAAACAGTAGGAAATGAGTGTGACATCTAAGAGGTTTTTCCCTCAGATACAGACTGGCTTATGAAAAGTGGCTTGAGTATTTATCAGTTGCCAAAGGTTTTACATACTTCAAAGAACCTTTATCTGTTTTCTTACCTGGTAAAAGCTGAATGAAGCCATCTGCAGCAGTTAATGTCACAGGCAGCCAGCGTTCGCATCCTTCTAGAGCTCGATCAGAGTTGAACTTGTGTAAGTCATTCAGTGAGGAGAAGTTGCACAGCCTACATAATTCGTAGAACTGAGGTGGAGCGAGCCAGATTTCTTGAGATTTAAAGCGTTCAATAGCTTCTGGGGGGGATGACCACTGTATGAGGAAAACAAACCTTGAAATAATAGTTTTCAGCAGCAGACAAATTTTGAGTAAGACAAAGCTTTTAACAGTCGTAAGTTTTCTGAACGCAATAAAAGTCACATGTAAACTGTATCAATAACAGGAGTCAAAAACTTATTAAAAACATATGGAAAGTAATTTGCAAAAATTACATTTTTCCAATAAAATAAATAATTTTGAACTTTAAATGCAGGCACACAAAATTTGGAAACTAAGTCTGGGTTCAAGACTAAAAGTGTGCTCTGACAAAAACTGAATCCATGCTGTAGCGCACGAATATTCCGCTACTCATAGTAAATAAATATGGTGTTGTTCTGCAAGTAGAACCTACTTGTCTTGTTTTGTCTAATATGGTGAATTCGATAACACAAATGTGTACATCAGCATCTGCTGTACAATTCTGCCACTATTAGCAAAACGTTATAGCAGTAAATAAAAATAGGATCTCAGCTGCTTTTACATTTCTATACCATATAGAGGAGGCAGATTTGCTCCTTCTCACCCCTTAAGGCAGGAAGCTGGCGAGCTCATTTCTTCGGCCGGCCGGCCGCCCGCTCACCTCCCCGGCCGGCAGCGCCCGTACCCTTGGGGGAGAGGCGGGGAGGCCCTCCGGTCAGCTCCTCGTGCCGCCGCCCGCGTGGCCGCAAGGTGAAACGCGGAGCGTAGCGCGGCGCGGGCGCTTCCCGCTGCCCTTACCAGGAAGGCCGTGATCTCCTGGTCGTCCTGCGAGGTGTGCGGCGGCCGCGTCTCCAGACAGCACAGGTAGAAGGCGGTGTCGTAGCGCCGCCCGCCGCGGCCGGCCCTGCCCACCGGGGTGAGCCAGTTGCTCCACTCCCGCAGCGCCCAGATGTTGGGGACGCGGCCGAGGTGCCGGCAGAGCTGCAGGAAGCAGGCGGGGTCCTCCTGCACCCGGCGCCGCCACTCGCCCAGCTCCGCGGCGGAGAGCGATTGCTCGGCGGGCAGCGACGGGGCCGGGCCGTTTCCCTCCCGCGGCCCGCCGCCCGGAGCCAGTAGGAGTATTCCCGCCTCCTCGAAGGTCTCCCGGATAGCGCAGATTCGGAAGGCGACCTCCCCCGGCAGCGGCGAGCCCAGCTGCTGTCGGTCGGTGGCGAAGAGCGGTGCGCGGCTGCTGCCCGGAGGCGGCGGCCGGACGGCGCCCAGCCCGCAGCGCGGCGAAGCGGGCAGCAGCCGCAGCCACTCGGCCGAGAAGTCCGCCGCCTCCACCAGGCCGCCCGGGAAAACGTGCGCGCTGGGCATGAAGCCGCTGCGGGAACTCCGCTGCAAAAACAGCACCTCGTAGTCACAGGGCCCGAGCGGAGACAGCGATCGCCGCTCCGGCTTGCCCGCCGCCAGCAGCACCGAAGCCGCTTCCCTCCAGTGCCGCAGCCTCGGGTTCATCTTGGGCAGATGGGAGGCGGCGGCCGCAATCGCGGTCCGCGGTCGCTCGTGCAGCACCGCCGCCTGTGGTCCCGGAGGAACCACTGCAGGCGCGGGCGGGAGCGCCGTGCGCGCCCCTAATAGCGGAGGTTGAGGGGATGGAATGGCAGCTCGCGTGACAGAGCCTGTCAGCTAGCCGCCAGCGGCCCCAGTCCTCAGTCCTGATCGGTCATAATCCCGTGATTAGTGTCCGTGCACTGCAAGGTTTAATGAAACGCAGAGGATTTGCAGGCACATGGCAAATGGCCGAGAGAAGCGAGGAGATCGCTGTCACTTCACTTGAAAAAGTAAAAAAAATAAATAACAACAAAAAAGAGGCAATTTGCACTTCCTGAGTTTCTGCAGCACCGAGTGTGTTTGCAACAGGACAAGAAGTGTGTCGAGCTGCTGGTTGCCTCGAGGCCGCGATCTGTTCGAGTGGTGCTGAAGGGACAGCGGTTGCAGCCCCGGGAATCAGCGCAGGGTCAGGAACCGAGGGCTCCGATTTGTAATCGGAGCACTGCGAGTGACCGCGGCTGGCCTCGGGGTAATCCCCATATCTGTGTTTCACGTTAGGGCGTGACAAAAACCGTGTTAGTTCTTCAGTTAAACATTCCACACCTCGAGTTGCCTGAATGTTCTTTTCTATTAGCCTTTGAAGAGCAGGGCCTTGTAGGATTTTAGCTAATCTTTTATTAGAGAGCTTTTTTGTTTGTTTGTTTTGGAGGCTCTGGAGTATCCTGACAACTGAAACATGTATACACATATATATGTGTGCTCAGGCAAGATAGCAAATCTTTGAAAGTCCTTTGAAGAATAATTTCATTTTCAGAAAAAATTCATTTTGATCACTTAACATTTGTGTTAAATTCCTCAATCATAGAATGAATGTGTAAGGAGGTTGAGCGGAACAAAACTGATGAAACAGATTGAGAAATTTTGTAAGACTGATACATGTGTAACGTGCACAAACGTCAAGCTGTTCATCATCATTCTGCTGCTGATTTGTGTTTGGCAAATACTCCTATACCCTCCCGTGCCTCTGGCAACCGCTGCATTTTATTTTCTATTTGAGCATGTACTTAATCCTCATGAGATGTGAACCATCACTGAAATGTTTAGAGGCAGTTGAACCAGTGGGATCCCAGAATATACCAACTGACAAAAAAATAATTCAGCACAGACACAGCTGGATCCTAAGTTCATCCCGATGCTAGGCTGCAGACGGCAGAGAATAGGTCAGCCACTGAGCTGATTATACAGAACTGGGGCAGAGCAGCAGCTGCAATACAGCCAGACAGTGCTCACGTTTGCCCTCGGTCTCCCCCTTCCTCATGACCAAATACATATGTAAAACCAGGACTTCTTGTGGCCTCTTTTTTTCATACTAGCTAAACTACTATTGCCCATCAGTGATTACCAACTTAGGCAATGGAAATATAAAGTCCATGGCTGTTCCCATTTCCTAAGCGAAGACATTTTGAACCTCAAATCATGGAGTTTTTGTTATGTTTGTTTGTCTTTGCATTTATTTTATTTATACATCTTGTTAGGAATGTGCTTTGTCTAAAAGCTGCTTTAGTGGTAAAATATTAATAAACTATGTAGGTCTTCCAAGATTTAATGTCCAACAAGCATGATTGCTGATCTAAAAGATTTAAGGTCCATTATGTCAGATAATAATAGCATGAAGGCATTTTAAGTAGAAAGTAGTCATGTTCCCTGGAACATTATTTTGCAACATCTTCTAGGAAGATCTGCTAGAGAATAGTGCAGACTGTATTGCTAAGCTTCTAAATAAGATCTTATCTTTTTTTTTTTTTTTTTTTTTAAACTCAGAGTGGTCTGAAGAGTTGCCAGTAGTAGGGTGCCAACAAGTCAGAATATCCTGGATAATTTCTTCAGCTGTACTGCTATGCCGCAGTACTAAATTTGGCAGATCTAGTTTCATAGGTATTTCATGGGTGGAAATGTAGTGTGTTTAGGCTGGCACACTGCTTCCTCAAGCACATATAAAATAGAGGGATTGTGGCAGAGAAATAGTTGTAGTTACAGCATTGCTTACGGCAGTCTTTTGGGACCGAAGACAGCCAAATGCAAATGCGAATTAAGACAGATTGATTATTCTCCACTCCTGTTGCTGCATTTTACCAGACTGTCCTGGGATATGGAAGGCACCTCCCCCTGCAAGGAACTTCCTCTCAGTGGTGTCTTTGAAAAAGTAGTTCAATATTATTTCATGACAGAGATGAACCACCTCATGCAAAGATTCCAGAAGCAGATGAATATGAGGTTTTGAGGACTAACTGACTGACACTCAGAAACTCCTTGCACAAAGATTTAGGATGCAAAGCATTGTTTTACTTCCTCCCAGTTTCCTACTAAGAAAGGCAAAACCTAAGCACTGCAGATGTGCATGCAACTCCTCTTTCAAGGCAATATTTAGGTTGCTGAAGATAGCTCAAATATGGAAAATGTCCTAAAGCCAAACTAGATTTAGGTTAAGTACAAAGCACGCTTCTTTTATTCATCTCCAAATTACATGATTTCTTTTTTCAATATATTCTGCTGAAATGCAGAGTTCCTCTCATTGGTACTTAAAATTTTGTATAATGTTAAGAGCGAGTTCAGAAAGAATGCAAAATCTGAGATACTCTTTTATTCAGGAAAGCCAGCCCTAAAATAAGGATAAATTATATTGCATGTCTGCTAAACGGTGAATCAGTGTGAATCACACCACTTTAAAAGTTAATTATGGATGAAAAGTAAGGTCCATCATTATTTCACAATCTAATTTGATTTACATACTGTCCTGGGACTTGGATATGATTATTGGAAGTCACTTTAACTTGCATCTGATAGATGTTTTGTCCCCATGCAGGTTTGGTGCCTAATATATCTAACCAAATGTTCCAACTGCAAGTATCAAAAAATGAAGAGTTTAATGAGGATGTTTTAAACTGTCTTCTTTCAAACTGACAAATTCTAAAGCTTTTAGATTGTTTAAGCTCATGAATTACAATGAAGAGGCACACTTACTGACTAAAATAAAAAATAAATTAGAAACTGTACACTTTTCCAAGTACTGTGTCCAAAATGTGAATAAATGTCAAATCTTGACAGTGCAGGTTTGTAATGATAGCATCATTAAAATTTATAGTAACCTTCATGCCAAATAATTTCCAACAGATCAAAGCAAATCAGAAAACTAGGTTACAGATAGCATTAACAACTGGAAATGTTCTACTTCCAACAGACGCATGGTGGATTATATCTTTCACGCAAACTGAAATTATGGTTCTAATTCTGCAGCCTTTAATTACATGAGCAGTCTTTACACGTGTAATTTCTCACGAACAGTGATGGTGTGCATGAGTAATGATCCAGACAACTCCATCTGGGACCCAGACCTCAAATGTGTATTTACATATAAAGTTACACACATAGCATATTAGATTCAGTTAAAGAGTACATTTTTGGTGTGTGAAGTAATCCTCAGTAGATTTATATTAATAGTTAAATATATTGTCTTCTTTTCTCATTTCTATCTTTCACATTCTTTCCACTCCCAAAGATTATGCAATTTATACATCATTACTTCATGATCATTCAGAGGAATTGCATTTGAATTTTTAAATAATTATTTTTTCTTAAGATAGTTACACATAGCTGTATGATGTTTCGTGTAAAATACTTTAAATACTTACGTATTTATGAAAAAAAAAAAAACCACCATGATTTTCAAAGTCATGTTTTAGGCTGTGAAATTCCTAAACGCTGATACATCAATCAGTTCAACTGTACGTATTCTTTGAGCATTTGTGTGCAAGTGACAGACTTGACTGATGGTATACTTCATTGACTTTTTTTAAACATAGTGAAAAACTGACTAAAATAAGTTCCAAGATGAAAGACACATGCTGTACATTTATTCCATGATTACTGTGCACTGAATTAGAACTAGCTTTTAGAGGATTTGTTTCTATAATTTGGTGAAGATGTCATCAGTAAGCATATGATAAATAATGTCATGTAATAACAGTGTAAATAAAACATACAATTCAATCAAAAAACAGACAAAACCAAAATAAAATAAAAACAAAACCAAAACAATAACAACAAGGGAAAACCCACAAATGACAGTGTAGAGGCTCAGGAAGTGGGTTTCTGCCTCTTGGGAAAACCACTGTCAATTTTCTGACAGAATGACTAAAACAGAACAACATAATTGCTTTTTCTAGCTGGCCTCCACATTTCACAGAATTTCGGAGAAGCTGTAATTTTATTTGTTTTTGCCTACATGGCTTCTAGGTGCACAGCTTCCAGCATGTAGCATTTGTGCTTGGCTGTGTAGGAGGATTCGGAGGAGCACTGTTGTTGGTTACATGCCATGTGACTTTTCACCTTCTTAAAGGTTTATTCAGTGGTAGCTGATTAAGCTGCGTTTCCAACTGCATTACAACACTGCAGCAGCTAGCTGATGACAGATTCCATCCTTCTGGGATCACTTCATCTCAGTAGCGTGAAGCATAGAGAAAAGGAATTTTCTTTCAAGTAAAATTAATACCAACATGCAGCTAATTAAATTTTTTTTTTATAATTTTACTCTTATTTTGTATTCAGTTAATCAGAGAATGGCTAGTCAGCTCCAGTCAGATATGCTGTATTTTCCTGGTCACTCTGGATGGATGTAAGACATTATGTTCTTACAGAGAAGTCACAGCCTAATACCCTGATGCTGTTTTTTGCTACTTAACAAAAAACATACGTTGTGTGTGTAAAATGAAGACAGTATGTGCACACATCTGTCTCCTTTCAGTACCTTGTCCTTCCCTCAGCACATACAGATAATTTTATGAGAAAGACAGTCTTCTCTAATCCTACTTTTACTGTATGCTTACCATAGCAAATGCTGCTCACGTGTAGACTACTATTTTGTCCAGATCTCTTCCCGCATTAGAAGACTTACATAATCGTATTGAGAGAGAGCACTTAGAGATCTATAATCCACTGGTCTTCCTGAATGACTTTTTACATAATGAAAATCTGTGAAGGGTAAATATGTTGAGTAGGAGTTCCATTAGCACTTAAATATAATAGATTTCTGGAAAATATACATAAATAATACAAACCTTGTATTATAAGATGGAAAATAAAGCACATAACCAATCCTTTCAGACTGTAAACAGTAAGGATGTGTTTAATTTTTAGTCCAGAAGCTAATGGTATCAGCCAGTTTACTTGGTTGTTAAATAACAGCATTCCCATAAAAGCTTCCATGTTTACTTGAAGAATTTTGAAACCGATTTTAATTCATGTTCACAATGCTGTTAAGTTTAAAGTGATGTTTGGGCTGCAAAACGAGGAGAGTCACTTAACTGTGGTTCTGCATTCATTTTGTTAGCAAATTAAAAAACTAGCATTTTCTTACATTTATGGACTAGGAGTCCTGGAACAAAATTACATATTGCTGCATTTAGCAGACCTCAATTCAAATAGTTTGATACAACTGCTGATCATTGTTGCTATCAATACCACAGGACTAAATTTTATACTCCTTCAAATGTGAATATCTTTTGTTAAAGTAAATGCTAGAAAAATGAGGACAGCATTTGGATCCTAACACAAGAGGATCTGTTAGTCTAACCTAAAATGTTCTCTAGATTTCAACTTTCAAAGCCAGTGGTTGAGTATTTACTCAACAGTCCTGAGCAAGCAGTGCTGAAAGCAACATCATGCCTGCTATCCTTAAGGCAGAGATTTTTTGACTTTTCAAATGCCTGATTTTCCTGCTTTATAAATTTAGATACATCACTGTATCTAAACATCTACCACTATCTATCATTCACCTTTGGGTACATGAGAAAGCTGTGTTTATTTAAAGAAAACTTAATGTGAAGGCTTAGCACGTTAGCTTAATTTCTGTAGTTGAAATAGGAACTTTTTCTTTAGAAGAAAATGTGCATCGATATTCCAGTTTTCATTTGTTTGCTTTAAATCACTGCTGTAAGCCAACCATTAAGTTTTAAGAACATACTTTATTTTAAGTTAAATAAACAGTGACAATAACAAGTTTCATTCAAGTGTAGAAAATACCACTCATGCACAGGCAAAAACAATGTAATTCAAGTCAGCAGTAAGATTTCAGTATACAGCAAATTTAATGTGTGTCCTATGAATAAGGACAAAAAAACTGAAGTAGAACAAGATTCAAATTAAGCAGTGAGCATCTTCATTTGTAGTGAAAACACAGTGACATTCTCATTCAATGGTCAGCAGCAGAGTATTTGTATTCTCATCACACTAAATTCAGAGTATTTGAAATTTGACTTTTTTTATTTACAAAAATAGCATTTCCATTTTCCTTTCACTCGCACTCCAGTGGGAAAAAATCTGTGAATCTAGCATATTTATTTATTTCTTAATTTAAAAGAAACATCAATACTTTTGGACAGTGGTGTTTCATACTGTTTTGATTTGCGTACTCACGCTCCTGAACTCTGTCACATTGTGCATACACTTGTATCAAGTGTGCTTTTCTTAACAGGAGATTAATAACAGGAACACTATTCATTTAGAAGAGACTGTAACAATCCTCTTAGAATTCTACTTCATCTTTTGATTTCATATATAAGAAAATACAGACTTTAATGAACACATTAATAGTGGATAAATCTGCAGTCACCTTTGTCTTAAGATTTGAAAAGACATTATTTTTTCAAGGTTCGATCCTTTACTAACTGTGTGCACACTCAAATGGAGTAAGACTTACGTAATTATCAAGTCTTCAGGTCCTGTGTTATTGAAAATCAAAGAAAAAAAGTAATGGACTGAAAATTTCCAGCTCATGAATTCAGTGTGGCTTACTTTTGAAGATGAGTCTTAAAAATCCCTCTATACAAATAACTGTTGCTAAACATTACATCCATTTAGGATAACAAAGTACAAAATAATGAATGCAGTAGATGTTATATTACCATGTTTTTTATCCACCAGAAACCTGGCTTGCATGCCTAGGGTTTTCAGAACATGAGTTCAAATTATCTGATATATATATGACTTTTTCAAGAAGCAAAGAAAAAAGTCCAACTTCTGATGCACCTTCATGTGAACTAAGTATCATGAGACTGCAGGGAGTGAAAACACTCACAAACCCTTAGTGACTAGTGGTGGCCATCCTGAACAGTACATTCTGCAGCTTTTGCTGCATTTTCCATAAATGTGTTTACACAGTATTATTGTGAAAGAGTTCTTCACAATTAAATCAAAACACAGCTATTACACCTCATATATGTCTAGACAGACTGAAGCAGTAGCACCAATTAAAACAGGCTTGACTGTTTAAGAGTGCTGCTGGGAATCTATACAAACCTAAGTTTTGTACACAAAACACATCCTATGGAATGAGTGAAACATCGTAGAAAGGAACGTGGAGTCTTATACATTAATTCCTATGTGAATCAAGTCTAGACTGATCAGTGTGCATAACTCACAATTCCAGCCTTCACTTAGCGTTCCTTTTCCTCACTAGATTCAATTTGTTACAGACTTTTTTTTTACCCAAACCCGGTTTTATTACATATTAAAAAGTCACCTGCTGCTGTTCTTAAAAGTTTCGTCCTTAACTCAAAAAGTTATCACCTGTTCATATATGTTGGTAACATACTTTTGTTAACAAACAAAGATTATTTTCTAGTAATTTCACCAGACATATCTGATTATTACCTTTTGATAATGTGTCCATAGTAAACGGTGTGGCAGACTAATTATGTATTAAAACCCCCATGTGATCGGGTCTCTATCACTCCCTCTGGAGTGTCTCATATGCACTACGATGTCTGTACTAAGCATTCTTGAATGAATGGTGTGTATTTACATGAACAGAACAAATCTCCATAACTTACATAATAAAGAACATTAACACATGGGTCCTTTTATAAGACATAACAGTGCTTCTCTGCAAAGTTAATGTCCCCTCAGTTCTACATTTAAACAGGCAATTTTTAGGTAAACATTGGGAAAGTTTTCTGCTGCTCTTGCTTTTATCTTCCCAAACTGTGGGGCATCCAATTGGACCAGTTATGCATCCAGTACCACAGACTTCCTCTTTCCCAAATGATTTCTCAGAAATGAATGAGAGATGAAACAGATTTTTTTAAGCTTTATCTGGATTTCTGCAAAGACCTCAGGAGTTTGCAGAAATGTGACTGACTGTATGTCAAGAGGCCAAAGTCTCTGCCTTCAACATGAGAGAGGATCTCTTTCAGGATGACTAGAAAGGTCTGCTTTCACATTACATCACTGCTGTTTGCCAAACTATTGTCAAAAATTATTGCATCTGATGTAGATGGATTCACTGCTCCTCATCTCATAGTTAACTGTGAAGTTCAGACAGATTGCATCTACAGAAAGAATCTGAACCAGTGGTAAGAATCAGCCTTTCTGCAGGGGGAGACAAGATCATGGTTAATGTGGAAGAAAACCACAGGGCTTGCTAGCATTTTTCTGACTATGCAGCTCTCCCTTTTCTCTCTCAGGATGTGGAAAGCCATCAATATGTGCTGTGCCAACCCTGGTAGCTGGCTTCTATGCAACCCAGTCTAAAGCTACAAACTGTACTTGCTGAATATTGCTAGTTTTCTCTGTTCTCCTCCACACTCCCCTTTTCCTGATCATTAACCTTTACTGAAATAGACATTTACATTCTCTTATTGGTGTGTCCATTCTTCCCTTTTTCCTCCACTGAAATAATATCTTGTGTATTGCTGAAAAAAGTCTCGATCTATTCTATTCACTGTCACGCAAAACACCTGTGTTGGCCTCCAAATTTGTGTCAGTCAGAAACATTGTAAACAGTGAGCAGCAGCAAACTGCAGAGCCTATTCAAGAACAAAAAATACAGGCTTCTGAGAGTGATGATCTATTAATAGCAGACAAATCGCCCTTATAGCCAGTAGTGATAATACCCTCAATACTTCACAGTTAACCCTTACAAGTCCAGCTAATGAACACATCCTAGTTTGCAGGCTGATTTGCATCTTTTTCTTCAAAAAGCATGAAAGGAACTGTGCATTTCAGGATTTAGAGAGGCAAAAGTTTTTCGTTATGTTTCCAAGTGCTAGGTTTAGATTCTCAGTGCACCCAAGTGACAAGAGACGCGTGGCACGAAGCACTTTTGGGCGGCCCTGTGAGAGCTCTCTAGTGCCAGCACAGTCTATGAGAGTTTTACCACACACACTGCCAGTACGATAGCAATAATGAGAACAGCGGAGAAAATAATCCCAGCCAGAACTTTGCTGATATCGCAGAAGGATTTATTTTCCTCCACAGAGATCATGCCAATGGAAGAAGCGCCCACGCTGATGGTGGATTTGAGTTCAGCCCCAGGGTCTTGCTTAGCCTCTACTGTCCACTGGGGGACATTGACCTTCATTTCCATCTCGTACATCATTTCTCCTACCTGGTTGATTTCGTTCTCTAGGTCCTTCAGATCCACCACATCTATGTTGTGCTCAGCCTCGTACTTCATGTTCTGGACGCTCATGGCCCGGGCGGCCACGCCGGAGGTGCCCCCGCTCATGCCCGTCTGGATCAGGTGCTTTTTGGGGACGTTCAGCGGGAATTCGTGCCCCAGCTCCAGGGCTCTCCTCATGTCGATCTCCAGGATCTCTAGGCACGTGGAGAAAATCACCCATAGTCTCTCGAACTCGGCTTTGTCCTCCTTACTCACGGTTTTGTCCCTCAGCACCGTGGTCAGCTTGTTCCTGTTGGCCACCGCCAGCTCCTGGGCTTTCTGCCGGGTCTTCTTCAACTCCTCGCGCAGGTTCTGCGAGTCCGAGGTGCCGCCGATGGTCAGCACCATGTGCCGGTAGCAGGCGGTCACCCTGCTGAGCGCATCCAGCAGCGCCTTGCACTCCTCCTTCACCATGGTCCCGCCGTCCGGGCGCCTCCGCCGCGGTTACCCGGCCCCGGGAGCGAGGAGCTGCCCAGCGCAGCCGCTACCAGCACGCATGGCGGGAGGCAGCCCCGGGTCGCGCCCGCCCCGCGGCCCCTCAGGCGGCGCCGGCCGCTCCGGGCGCGCGGGGCGCGGGCAGCATCGCTTCCCCCGCTACCGCCGGCGGGCGGCACGACCGAGGCGAGCCATCCCGCAGAGCGCCGGGCGTCCGCCGATCGGGCGCCGTACTTTGACGAGTGCCAAACGCGGGACGAAAACAAACGCAAAAGCTAAAGCTTCGGCTCCGGAGAACGGCGGCTCCCCCCGCCCGCTGTCTGCACGAACCCGATCCGGCGCAGCCGGGCGCCGCGCGGTCACATGGCGCCGAGCGGGGAGCGCCCGCGGCCTCCGGGCGCGGCCCGGGCCGGCCCTATAAGCCCTCGCAGGCTCCGCCCCTGCAGGCTCCGACCCCCGGCGGCCGCCCGCTTCCTCGTTCGCTTCCCGCCGCTGCCCGGCCATTGGCTTCGTGCGGCGCCGCGCCGGCCCGCCCTGGTTCCCGGTAGGGCTCGGCCGAGGCGCGGGGCGGTTGGGGGGGGCGGCGTTGGCGGGGCGAGGGCGCTCTCTCACTCCTCCTCTCCCTCTCTTCCTCCCGCAGCCCGCTGGTCGCTTTCCGCGGGGCCGGTCCCGCCGGTGCGCTCCCGTCCCCTCCTCAGCCAGAACGGCTGTGTCGCGGCCTGCGAGCCGCGCCGCGAGAGGGGAGGTGCCGGCCTCGGCCGCGGCCTGCTCCCGGGCTGGGGCTGGCGCGGAGCCGGCGGGGCCTTGGGGCGGCCCTGCTGGGGTTGCGGCGCTGTGCTCCCCGCCGCGACGGCGGCTCCGGCTCTGGCGGCGTCCGGCCCGTGGCGCGGGGCTGCTGGTGCCCGTGGTCCCGCTGCCACCTGCGGTAGACCCGCTGCCCACGCTGCACGGCGTCGGGAGTGCTTAATGCACTGCTGAACTTTTTCTCACCCCGGTGCGTGCATTATTTATACCACAGGAGTGCACTCCGGTTCCTACCTGGCTCTGTGATGCGTGCTTTCTGTATATCGGCGTCACAGATGCTTCAGTTTGTTTCTCGGGGGCAAGAATTTGTATCTTTTTACTTCTTTTCTGTGGATTATTTAAGAAGGCCCCTAGGAAGTGTGGGTATGGGGCCCAGAATGTCTAAGGGTAGTTGAAATCAAGTAATCACGCATCAGAAGGTACAAACACAAGCTTTTTACTATAAAAAATGATTCTCTAGTGGCTGCCCTTGTGTACGTTCTGAAATATGGTGTGGTCAGTCATGAGCTGTAGGCTGTGTTTGTACACATGCCTGTGTCTTCCAGAAGAGCAGATAACACTGACGCTGAGCGCTGCGTGGCAGGCTGGGCTGTGTTGTGCTGTCTGTTAACACATGTTTCACCTTGGCAGACTTCTGGAGAACTTGCTTGTCGTGGCACACACAGCTATATATGCCTTAATGCTCCTGGACAACTGTATGGTTTGATGTTGCTACAGTAATTTATGAGAAGTGAAAGCAGCCTCCAAGAGGGGGATCGTGGCCCCCCTTCCTTACTGTGGCAGCAGTGTGTGCCACAGGCAAGATAAGGCTCTGGGCAGGGCAGGCGCTGGGGGGGTATGTTGAGGCTGTGTTCCTCTTCTATGATTTGGTTGCATGGGGAGTTTGGTCCTCTGCTCCCCGACTGCTTTTTGTTCTGCCTTTCTGTTGGACCAGGCCACAAGTCTTGTGTGGCTACTGCTGCACCCCTGTGCACCTGTGGAAGAAACCAGCTGCCAAGTCCTGCAGCAGGCTGTGGGGTCACTGTGGAGCTACTGGGTAGCTCTCTGCCAGTGGTAGGCAAGGTGCGGTGAATCAGTGTCTGTTCCCTGCTGGAATGAAGAAGCACAAGATGCTTTTGACCTTGTATGTGAAGTTTTGTAACTGCTTAACTATTGTCATGTGGTAGAAGGATTAGCTCTAGGTTTCAATCTGGAGTCCTGTCTGACTTAAGCTTAATCCTAACTAAGTTACACATCCATGTGTATGTGGGCAGGAGCTGCATTGCTGCATCTTACTGAGGCTGCTATTCCATGTGGCATGCCAGAATCCTGGAACTCAATTTCTTTGAAATCCAGATGTAGCTGAGGAGGGGAAGAGATGTTGGTTTAGGAGCATGTGACTGCATAAGTCTGAAGGCGGCAGTAGTTACAATCTGTGTCAGGTAATACCTAAAAACTTCTCTAGATATGTCATGTGTGAAGAAAGATTGTTCTACAGAATAACTCTAATTAAGTTCAGTTGTGTGCAATTATCCTATTCAGGTAGATTCTGAAAACTCTTAAAATTTAGTTGTAGCTTATCAGACATGATGCTGTTAAATCCAAATCATAATAACACTTTCAAAGAAGATGCTGACTAGCTGAAACTTTGTCCAAAGTTTCACAAAAAAAAAGCTAAACTCTGAAATTAGAAGGGAGTTAGGAAGCAGCATAATGAGTGCAAGCAGAAATGTATTTGCTAGTTCTGTAGGAAGGCTTACTTCCAACAGGTGTTTATGATAGTGTTCTTCATGTTGCAGTACTCTTAAAAACTGCAAGAAACTCTGCTGCTTCTTGAGCATTAGTGCTTGTTAAGTCTTGTATCATTTTAATAGACTTAAGTGGTATTTTAGGTAAATACAAATCTGTTTTGTTTGAATGGTTGGTAAATCTTGCCTCGTGGCTTCGCCTCTGGGATGAGCTCATACACTGAGTTCAGGCATCTGAATGCTGTGACCTGAGATGGTTGAAATCCACTTAGATGAGGACAGAACATAAGGATTGGATGCAGTGTGAACAAAACTGGTTGATTGTCTGATAACACAGTGCAGCTTTGTTCAGATAACTCCTGGCTTGTGTTTTATGAAACATTTTGTTGTAAAGTGTCTTGAAATGTTGATCCAAAGTGAGAATTTTCATTTCCATATCATTGCCATGAAGATGATCAGGGGACTGGAGCACCTCCCCTACAAAGACAGGCTGAAGGAGCTGGGCTTGTTCAGCCTGGAGAAAAAGAAGGCTGTGGGGGTGACCTTGTTGCAGCCTTTCAGTACCTAAAGGGAGCCTATAAACAAGAGGAGAATCAACTCTTTGAAAGGATAGATAACAGCAGAACAAGAGGAAATGTTTTTAAGTTGAGAGAGGGAAGATTTAGGTTGGATGTCAAGGGGAAGTTCTTTACAGAGAGAGTGGTGAGGTGCTGGAACAGCTGCCCAGAGAGGTTGTGGATGCCCTGTCTCTGGAGGTGTTCAAAGCCAGATTGGATGGGGCCCTGGGCAGCCTGGTGTAATATTAAATGGGGAGGTTGGTGGCCCTGCATGTGGCAGGGGGGTTGGAGATTCACTGATCCTTGAGGTCCCTTCCAACCCAGGCCATTCTGTGATTTCTATCATGGAGGAACATCAGTCTGATAAGTTTATTGTGGACTTGCTGTTGCGTGGCTTTCAGTTACCTTGGGCCAGTGTATGGTGCCCAATGTGGTATTAAAGGCCAGTAGTGCTTATAATTGCTTGCTGTGCTAGTTGGAAGAACTTCACCTGTGCAACTGCTCCTGCCTGCCTTCCTCTCTGCTCCTCAAAAGGGTTATCTAGTGTAATTCAGCAGTGTTTCCCATAACTAGATAATCTAGTAATGGGTAGATGTTAAAGCTCTTAGCATCAATGAGATAAAGCTAGTGTTGGCCTGCAGCAACCTGGTTTTCCTACTGAGATATGCAGAAAATGGATGTGGTCTGCTATGAACATGAGTGGTCTGTGACTCTGTAGTTGGGATGCAGTGTTTATGCCTCCATTTTAATGTTTGGGCCCGATGCATCAGCTGAGGAGTTCTACAACTACTTTGTCTCTGTGAGTGAAGGATCACCATAATTGGCTTAAGAAAACTCTGTTTATCCTTGTACTTCAGCACCTTAGTTTTGGTGTGTTTTTGTGTGGTCAGTTGCCTGTGAATTCATGCTGATACCTCTGCAGGCCTGCAGAGATGACCTTGTATAAATGCATTGAGCAGATGGTGAGGACTTTGTCTATTCTGTTAATGTTTGTTCTCTAAATATGTTCTTTTTAATCTTTGTAGTTCTACTGATGAGCCTTTTCTGCACTCTTCCTTCACATTTGCTTGTGTCTTGCTCAGGATTTCCAATTTGAGACTTGAGTGCAGTCTTAGTAATGGTAAGCTAGAGAACAAACACAGGTGAGGAATTTGCAGCTACTCAGTATATTATTAAACCTTCAAGGGTTGGGAATCCATACTCTCTTGGGCTGTTAGGATTGCAGCTTGTTCTAAGTACCTGGCTAATGCCAAGAGAGCTGATCTCTGAAGTCAGGGGAGGTGACTGGGTGAGAGCAGACAGCATCCTGTGGGAGGGTGATCTGCTCATAGAGTGCTGATCAGAAGGATGAAATAGGTGGCTGGTGGGAGTCAGGCCGCTATGTACTTTGGTCTCAAATCTGAGAGAAATGCAAATGTTTTGGCATCAAGCTATAATATGAATGCACTTAAATTAGAAAGGTTGAACATTCTTTTTAAGAATGAGCTCTGGTTTAGAGTTTTTTGGGGGGCTCATCATGGAAAGCAGTGTGAGGAATGAGCGGAACGCACCTATGTGGCACTGCCTGCTCCTGTCAGGCACTGTGCAATGCCCTAGGGCACAGCATGATGCTGAGAGAAATGATGAGAGACAGTTGTCTGACCCTAAATAGAGAAGTGGGATCTGTGTTGAGAGAGATGTGCAGAGATGCCCCTCCACCCCCAAAAACCCAAACAAACAAAAAACTAAACACTGCACACACAAATCTGAGCTCTGTACCCTTCACCTGAAAAAATGTGACTGCAGGGGAGATGCTGTTGAAAAAGGAGCATCTTCCTGGAATGGCACTGACCTCTCCTTCCCAGAACCTGCTGCATCACTGTCAGGCTCTCATTCTGGGATGATATAACTTAGTTTTCCTCTGGTTTCTAGGAAGCCTTGAGCTGACTGATGCAGATTCACTACTCAATACTCTGATAATTCAGAGGTAATATTCTGATATACCCACTAAAATCACTGAAATCACTATAAGCTGCAGCTGAATGTAAAAGGTAGAAATAGTTTCCTTTTTATCTGTCCCTTGTGGTGAGCAGGGTACACTGGAACATGTCTTGGAGCCATAGTTCATCGGATGTTCAGTGCTCATTAGGGGTGGGAGTTTTTCTGTGTGCCCAGAAACAGAGAAGGTGTTTTTGCTTCATGATGAAAATGTTGATTTGAGGTCTCAAGTTCAAACTGTGACTTTTAGCCTCAAGTAGCCTCAATATGAGGAGTAATACTGCAAATAAAACTGTAGTTACAGTGGTAACTAGTTTTATTTGGACTGAGTCTAGTTAATTCCCACTGTTAAATTTGTGTTTGCAGAGTGCTTTAAGATATGCTCAGATTCAGCTGTACTCCTAACAAGTGGTGCTCTGAAAGTTTTTTTTTGGGGGGGAGGAGGGGAGGAAAAGGGGAGTAGTAGTGGTGAAGGGGGATCCCACTGTGTTTGAAAAATCACTTGGAACTAGGGAACAATTGTTTCATCCAGGTTTCTTTCTGCATAGCTCTACAGTTCACTAGTGTGATAAATACACTTAAGAATTTGATCAGGAATGTCTCAGTGTAATGTTTAGCTGTTCTGAGATGAACAACTTGTAGCTGAGTAATAAGTTACTGCTTGGTCTGACTTCTGTCATTCTTGTGAGCTTTTCAGCAAGTGATATTCTAGTTATTGGTTTACTAAGCTGGAGTTGTGAATGTTGTACAAGAGTCTGCAAGCAGAGATGAAATTGATGTCAATGTGTGAACAAGTCAGTCTTGTGCTCTTCACCACTGAATATGAAGTATTTCCATACAAAATCCTTTGTGCTATTATGAAAGGCATTTTCTCTGTAGTATGTCTCATTAGGTCTTCAGTGTTAAAATGGGATATTCAGCAGGTGTACTTCAGAACTGAATAAAAATTTTTAGAATGGGGTCATAATGTAGCTGTCAAGTAAAAGCAGTGGCATCTATTTTAATGACTATTTCAAAATGTTCCTTAAAAAGAGCTGCAAATGAATAGGTCTGTGAAAAGCACTGGGTTTCACTATCTCTAAAGGAAAACCTGATGCCAAAAACTTTCATAGCTAAGTCCTGCTTATTGCTTTCAGTACCAAAGGTCATAGGACTTGGTTCCCACTCTTTTGGAAAACAGTGACGTGCTTGGATTCCATTGCATGGCTTTTCACTTCAGCTGTTCCTGGTGCAAGATGTGTCATTAGAACTATCACTCTGTCCTTAATCTACAAAGGACTTGGCTGTTCTAAGGGTATGATTATGTTGGTGGGTTTTTTTGTACAGGGTAACAAAATGCTTATTGGATTCTCTGATGAGCTGGCTTCTGTTCTTCCAGCAATCAGAGCTATTTCTATGTTTACAGGCGTGAAGCCACGCAGCTAAGTGATTCCATTTAAACATTTTGAAAGTAGTACTTACGTATTGCTTTACAGCTTAGCATGATAGAATTTAATAAACTTAGTGAATATGGCTTATGAAAATTTTTAATGGGCTTTCAGTTATATGTTACCAGAACTGTTCAATGCTTATATGACTTTGTGCTTTTTCCTGCTTGTGTCATGTTAGTAAATCTAAAGCTGTCTGAGGTGCAACTAGAGGAATAATTCCACCACCTGCCCCTTCAGTTCCATTAGATTAAAATTGGATGTTGTGTTCTGCCAACAAATTCTCAATGGAATATTCTAATGCATTCTTAGAATTACTGCAGTGCATTAGCTGTTGTGTTCAGATGCACTTAACTTTTGAGATGGAAAGAAATCGACTTATCTCAAAAATGCTTGAGACAAAATTTGGGGGATCTTTAATGTATTCTTCAGTTTCCTTAGAGTTGATCTGTAGAAGTGTAGTGTGAAGGACTTGGCTTTGTTGTAGTTACTAATACTGCATGGCCAATACATCCCCATTTCTGTCTGGGCAAATGTAGTTGATTAACTGCTTCAGTTAATTTAATGAACACTTCATTCTTTCTTTTGCATACCCACACATTAATCAGATATGGTAGCCATCCACTAATGGAGCAGTGTGCAGATGAGGGGCTGAGAGAAAGGTGTGAGAAAAGAGAAGGAAATTGAGAATCCATTCTCAAAATAGTACTCATTTGACTACTGGTTGCTACTTCCTGCTGTGCAGGGACTTGGTTGCAGCTTGAATTGCCCAGCTGGGAGATTAGGGTCTTCAGTCTGCTTCTGCTCAAGGTGGCTGGCAAACTCTTTTGTGAACTAAAAGTTGAAGCTTCCTTATTAGGGCTTTAGCATGTTGACAGCATCTTAGTTGTACTACAGTAGCTAAAATGCTAGAATTAATGCAGATTCTTGTCACTTCTTTTTTTGAGCTCTTAAGCATGAGTTACTGCCGCAGTCAGTAGTTCTGTAGTAAACAAAATGCCTGGCTCTATGTGGTAACTCACGAACCAGATCTAAAGATTGTCGTTTCAAACTTAGTGGGTCGATCTGTTAACTGAAACAGTTCTTACAGTACCCTGATTTTTTTTTTTTTTTTTTTACATGCAGGCAATGACTTAAGAGCTGCATCAGTCAAACAGCAAATTTCATAAGCTAAGGTTTTCTAGGGGGCTTTCCCCTCCAATACATCCCTTCTGTCTGGTTTGCTAGGGTATTAAATATTGTTAATTTCCTATTAGACAAAGCTTCTCACTACTTTGATGAGATTCAGGTTTCTGGAGAAAGGAGGTCTGTGGAACGTGTTCTTCCTTCCCTTTTCTACTATAGGAAAGAATCCTTTGGACTTAGATTCATTAAGCCGAAAAATGGGCAATATAGCAATTATTATTAGTAATTATTTATTTATTAGTAATTATTAATAGCAAGTGCACTGCATTTTTGTCTCTGCAGTCTGATGCTTAGTTGCCTTCTTGTGTCAATGTACTCTTGGCTCGTCTCCCCACTGCCTAGCACCTGGCATCCTAATACTTTCTTACGTACTGCGTAGACACAACATTCTCATCTATCAATTGACTGGATAGTGAACATGAATTCACAAATGAAAAGGCAGATGAAGATGCTTTGGTGGGCCATCTACTTCAGCAGAAGCTTGTTTTGGAAAGTATCTTGAGAGATCGTATCTTCTAGAGAGGCTAGAAGGCTGGATCTGTATCACTTCTAGTAGAGGTTTGTCTAACAGGTTCTTAAAGATTTACAATACTGGAGACTTGATAGCTTTGACAAGTGATCTAAAACATGTTTATCTTTTTTTTTTTTAAAGTTGTTCCTGTTCTGTAACCTGACTCTCTTTACCTAAGTTGAGGCCTGTTTCTTCTTCTACAGATGTGGAACAAAGTGCCCTTGCTGAGACTTTAGTACGTCTGGGGGATTTTCTTACTTATCTCATGCGGTTTCTTTACCTAAACCAGTATCACTGCACTGTGTTCTACATCTTCCTTTTCTGCCTTTCTCACTTAAGATTCTTCAGTCAATTTCATCTTCCCTGAAGTGTAGCACCCAAAAAGGAATATAGGACTCCAAAATAAGCTTTGCCATGGTTGATGATTTTGCTTGCTGCATGTGTTCATACAGCCCTCTATGACATTTGCTTTCTATATAATAAGTTGATGTTGAATCATGTTTGAACTGTGAGCTCTAAGTCATTTAAGATTTTACTGGAATTATTGCTTAGCTGGTTGTTCATAGGCAGTTAATAGGTAATTAGTCCTGCTTGCTAAGTCCTGTCTTAATGCTGGCACAGCCAAATTGATGTCCTTTCATAAAAGATATTGTTTTTATCCTTTTGGGAAGTGGATGAACTGTTTCATCTGGAGCTTCATGAGAAAAAACTGCTGGAGACAGTTACCTGCCACTGCCTCAGTTGTCTTTGGTGGCTCATGCTGAGGTAATCCGGGCTGCAAGAAACTGCTGATAACTTCATAGTGGGAATGACTTTCAGGCTTAATTGATTGTGCTTGTGTTGAGTTCTCCTTGTGCCTAATTATAAGGAAGGACCAGACAGTACATAGATCAGGTAACAGACAATAGATCACTTAACAGCATAGCTGAAACTAAAGGACTGTTTAAAAATCTGTGCGAATTGGGAATGTATTTTTCCATCCTATTATACTGTAACACAGTGGTTTCATGTCTCTTTCTCAATCTGTGAAGAAGGACATGCTTGTGGCACCAGTACAGCACTACTGTTGTTCAGTATTTCAAGTACTACATAATAAGCATCAGAAGCTCACATTGAGCAAGTAATGTATTAAGTAAAAGTTAGGATACTAACCTCCATATCTTAAACTAGGCAAGGCTGCCCAGGGCCCCATCCAGCATGGGCATTCCAACCTGGAAATGCTAATTGTGTAAGGATGGCTTGGTTCAAATTGAACTGCTATTACTGCTCTTACCTTTTCCTGGTATATATAGCTGAAGTTGCAGGAGGAAATCATGTGACTTACATTTCTTGTTTCCTTGGGGAATCTGGGTGTGGGGAAAAGATATAAGACAGTCTGCTTAATTAAGCCCTTGTACAATTGTTAACCTTTATTCTTCTGAATAAAAAAAAAAAGCTGAAGTTATTCTAGAAGGGTCCTATTAGGGTTTTTCATGTCCTTGTGTCTAGAGAATTAAAAGTACAGAGGCCTTTTAAACTGAGGGTTTAGTGCCTCTGGAAATCCTCTTTTCTCCGTGACGCACCTTGTGATAACTCTCCAGTGACCAGTAGTTGGATTTCTGTCTCTGCTAACTTTTCTGCTTGCTGTTTGCCAGATGCTGTCAGTCTGACTTCAGATGATTGACACCTTTTCTATGGAAGTAGAGGTTACCACAAATATTGGATTTCATTGGTGTCTTTTTAATTACGACTTGGTTATATATACCTGCTTCTTGTACCTTTCCTAAAACTTTCCCTGGAAAGTTGGGGATTACATTTCACAAGGATTCCTATTACACTGAGTGTCTCACTGATATGTATGTCAGTAATTGTCACTTACCTAAGCTTACTGTGAAAGCATCAATGTCCCAAAGTGTTGTAGAATCTGCTGTGAAGAAGCTTTTAATTCCCATCTTCTGGATTATGTTAGACCTTAGCTTGTGTATTAGAATGGTTATAATGTAGATCTTAATATCTATCTGCCTCCATTAAGTTTTTTCCCAGCAGATCATGCACTTAAAGGGCAAAGGAGACCTTATGAGGATACATGTGTAACAGGAAATGTGTTGTTTTGTTTGGACATAGCTCTTTCTGAGTAACTTTTGAGTGACTACGCTTAATTTCTTGTTAATTAAGCATGACATTGACAGCTCACATCAGAGACCTGAAGCTACTTTTTCTTTTTGCCCCTGTGGTATTTTGCAATATTATACATTCACAGATACCATATACTATGCTTTAACCATTCTCCATATGTTTTCTAGAAAATCTCCTTTGGGTATCTGAAGTCCATATGGCTATGTATGATGAAGACCTTTTGAAAAATCCCTTTTATTTGGCTATTCAGAAGCGACGTCCTGATCTCTGCAGCAAAGTTGCAGAACTTCATGGTATTGTAAGTATGAATAAGTGTATTCTAAAATAACTTATTAAATAGCAGCAAATTTTTTATTTAAATTCCAGGCTTCCTAAGAGTCATGAAGGTCAGTACAAGCCTGCAAAACATTTTATCTATAAACGTGGATCTCTTGGTAACTGCACAGTAATAACAGACGGAAGTGATAACTTCTAACCTTCACAGGAAACTTACTGTCTTTGATATGAACTAGTTGTATATTCTTGCATTTGTGATTTAAATTAGGATTGACTTCTTGAAATCCCTGATGGACAGACAATCACTTATTTCTGACAATTTTATATAGCAAATCAAAGACATTAAAATGAGTTGGAATAAAAAACTGCAATTCTTTAAAACTTCCAATCTGAGTATCCTGCAGTAAGCATTGATCTAAAATTAAGTGTGTGGAGATTCCATTACACTCAGCTTATTTTATCAGATTATAAAATTAAGCTTTAATTGGACAGCGCTCTTTCCATCACTTATTACTTAAGATAGTAATATGATTAGTGAACAGATTTTAGCATTTTTGCTAGTCCTATCTGTATTTTAACACCTAATATCATTGACATCCTTAGCTAAAACTTATCCTTAATTCTTTGCATTAACTGTACTGCAGGCTTGCATGAACTTGCTGGCTTCTAATATGTATGATTATCTCAGTGATCTTACGTGGAATTAAAAGTGTATCTTTAAAGAAATACCTGTATATTCAAGTTTAGTAAATATTTGTATAGCTTCAGAGGATTACTGGAGAATCAATGAGCAGTTGAACACTGCTTGTGAAGACAAATCTGTCAAAAATTTGCAGAACCAGGTGTGCCATTAACATTTAAAATTTTCTCTTAAGTCTGACCTCTTATACTGGTGGTTCTGGAGCTGTTAATGGAACAACTCTACATTTCCAGGACAAGAGTATTCGTATTGAGTTGTATTGCTGCTTCTGGAGAAGGAAGGATGTCATTTTAAGAGCAGAAGCAATTTGAAGATGCTATTTCTTGACAATGAAATGTATTTCTTCTCAGTGTGTATAGAGTTTCTGATATTTAAAGGAATGAGATCTCACACTTTGTTCATAATTTTTCCTCATTGAATAGTAATTTACTGTAACTTGAAAGTGCTCATTCACTGCTTTACTCCAAATGACTGAAATTACTCTGAGAAAGTACCGTCCAAATGGAGAATAACTTAATTAAAAGAAGAAACTCAAGATTCCTTTTGGATTGACAGTAGGAGTTTGAGCTTCTTGACATCAGAACAAATTGAAAATTAGATTAGCATTGTGTAAACAGATGTTAAAATGAATCTTGCTTACTAGTCAAGAATTTGTCTTTATCTGCCAATCTATTGTAGTATGAAAGGCAAAAGCAATCAGAATTTAACTGGTAATTTATTGTATTTATCTCCAAATTGTGATCTAACTCTATTTTAGGTATTAGTTCCGTGCAAAGGAAGCCTTTCAAGCAACTGTCTTTCCAACTGCCAGTTTGAATCTTATGTACTGAAGCCACTAGAAGAAAATTTTCAGACCTTAAATGGAAAGGTATTTCTGTTTTGGTATCTTGGGGACACTGGTAAATGACTCACTGCAGTCAGTAACTAACTGAACTAATGGTTACAGGAGCTAGCAAAGAGCGCTAACTGGCAAAATGTCACTCATCTAAGACAATGTTCTCTGGGATATGTTGCTTTCTAGTGACAACTGTTTTGGTATGGACTCAAATAGTTGTCTTATTTAAATGACTCTGACTCTGATTTTCAGTTTACTACTTCAGTGAAGCAACTGTCAAGCTTATCTGTGTTTTTTAGTTATGGAATTTTTGACTGTGTAAATGGGTTCTCTGCATTTTTGGTTGTTAGGAATCTTGCCTGGAGTAAAGGCCACTTTCACTTAGTTAACTGCATCTTTAGGTTTCATGCTGCCTGTATTGTATGCAGATGCAAGTTCACCAAGGTTTAAGACAATTAAGATAATACTGAGTAGTATCTGACACCTGATTTAGAAACTAATGCAAAGCCATTATAACCAATGCTAACGCTGCATAGGTTTAATATGAATTTTTTTCTTTTTTATTTTTGCAATACAGTCTGAGATTTTGTACTTATTTGCAGGCAGTTATTTAGGTATTCCTACTATAGGTGTTCACACTGGAATTCTTTAGGAGATAAAAGCTGAGCAAGAGAAATATGTCCAAGATGGATGGTATCTTACTAAGCTGAACTCTAGACAACAAATAAGTTGCTTTTTTTTTTTTCAGTTCCCTTTTGCTAAAAGTGCTTGAAAATCTGCAGATATTACTTGGTTTCAGATATTCTCCAAAATTTCTTTAGTGGGGGGCTTGTAAGGAAAGTGAGTACAAGCAAGATTCAGCTAGCTGTCATAAACTTCAGGAATCCCTGTTTCAGCCTACACAGCATTAGAATATGAAAAGTCTGGGGTCTATGACTTTTCCATGTTGCAAGATTCTCTTTTTTCCCTGGAGATATAACTATGCAATGCAGAAGTCAGGGTAATTGTGCTTTTTAGAATTTTTCCACTTTTCTTTTTTTCAGGAGATCTTCATACAAGGAAATCTTGTCATCTTAGGAACCGGTTTTAACTATCATCTCTCGGTACCTGTTCTTTTTGAGGAAACATTTTACAATGAAAAAGAAGAGAGCTTTAGTATTTTGTGCATAGCTCATCCACTGGAAAAAACAGAAAACTCAAGTAGGTATTGCTGTAATAACAGTTGGCCTTGTTTGCACAGCAACCAAATAAGTATCTTTATTTAATATGCTTTATCCATTCTGAAAAGTGCTGAGTTGACTGAAGCTCTCAGCATTTACTATGTAGCATAGCTACATAGCAGCTCATTTGGAGGTCATCTATCACATTTCATTTAATGTATTCTTTTTTCCTAATATTGGAAAAGCCTCTTGATGAGGCTAGAATGCTTTTTCCAAGACTGCTACTCAAGCTGTGAATGTAACAGGATTTCCTTATGAAATTTTGTACCAAATAAGTAACTGAAGTTACTTGAAATGTATGCTTTTTCTGAATTAAAAGCATCCCATCTTTCTTAAGAAGGTAAACAAATGACAAAATGGTACTGGGCAAGTGTGAAAATAGTACTGTGAGAGGTGTGGACATTATGCTGGAAATAAAATAGCTGAAATACATAAAGACTCAAACTATGACTGAATATATGCACAAAATCTATTTGTCAGTTTTTAGCTATTGTTAGTGTAGTTACACAGCAGCCTTTCAAAAGTGAGGCGACTTGTAATTTCTAAGTAATTTGAAATGAATAAGATCTAAGCCTGTTATTAGTTGCCCTTTGAGTGCAGATGAAGGGCTTGCTTAGAGAAATTTTCTTGGAAAGGCTATATATAAATATATGAATTCGAAACAAGGGATCAAACTTTATTATTTAGAGGAAAAGTGGATTGGTTCAACATTTACTTGGTGTGACTTTGCCCTCTCCTTCAGAAAAAGGGTGCCTACTATTATAGCCTATAATAATAGGCTATTAAATAGGCTATGTAAAAGTTCAGGATGTGGGTGTTTTTATTTTTTACAGCTTGTTTAGAGCACACTGTCTTCCTGCATGGGCAATCAGTCAGTACTGTAATACGCTTTTCTTAAATTTCATGCCTGTCTCACGCTCGACTTATGAGCAGCAATAAATTACCCCCAGAGGAAAGGAGCATGCAGAATCAGTTTTTAACTATTCCAAACAGATACTTGACACAAAAGGCAAGAGAGCTGGCTCTAAGCGTGGCTATTTAACTGCAATATCTTCTCATAATTGAAAGCAACACCTTCATTTAAAAGCATAGTAAACTGAATTAATGTTTCATTATACGCAAGTTGGCTTGATATCTAGAACGAGAGAGAGCTTTACTGTGCATGTGTATTCAATGTGTTAACTCTCGGGTTTCATTTTTAGATGAATCTACAGCTTCATCAAACCTTTATTCTCTTAAAAATATTGAAGATGTTAGAGAATTCTTGGGAAGGCACTGTGAGAGATTTGATAAATACATAGGATCTTTCTACCGAACATTTAAAGAACATGAACGGAAAAGCCTCCGCCACTACATAGTGAGTATCTTGCTGCTTGGTGCTTAATTTACTAAATATAATTCACTTTACTGCTTTGGGTATCTTTTCTTTTTAAGATGTTCAATGTCAGAATAGTCCCGGGAAGGAAGGTAGGAAGGGAGAAAAGAATTTGTAACTGTGAATTACTGCATATTGACCGTTATGTAAATGCAGCTTTTAGCTAAAGATCTTACTTTACTTTTGTTGACACTGTATGCTTCTAAGTCAGAGAAGCTCTCCTTTCTTTGCTCTTTTATGCTTTGTTGCTTCATGTCATTAACCCAAATCTACTTTTCCTTTTCCCTCCTAGGATTCTGTCAGTGCACTTTATACCAAATGTCTCCAGCATCTTCTGAGAGATTCACACTTGGTAAACACATCAGTAAATACATAGTATGTAGTGTTACTTAAGCAATAAATCATTTAACTCTCTTGCTATTTATGTGGCTTTTCCTTTTTTAGAAGTTGCTTGCGAAGCAAGAAGAACAAATGAATCTGATTAAACAAGCAGTTGAAGTAAGCATCTGAAATGAAGGAAAACAATTGGCAAGCAATTTTAGCTGTTCCTTTCATGTCTAGGCTACTTTTTTTTTTTTTTTCCAACAGATGTATGTCCACCATGCTATTTATGATCTAGTCTTTAAATATGTGGGGACTATTGAGGCAAGTGAGGTAAGTTTGATTGCTGAAGATCAATTACATTAATCCAGTGCACTGTAAACACTTATTGCCTTTCTTATTAGGATGCTGCTTTTAACAAAATCACAAGAAGCCTTCAAGACCTCCAGCAAAAAGACATTGGAGTAAAGCCTGAGTTTAGGTGAGTGTTAGTTTTTGAGCAGTCACTGAGATCCTGTCTCAAATAGGTTTCTGGCAGACCAAAAAGTTATCCTTCAGACAATAGTAAATTTTTATTATGCTTCATTCCTTTGAGATAGAAAAATTGTGTCATTTTAAGGAAGTTGTTTCATTGAACTTTTTTTTACTTTGGGGGTTTTACGTCTCCCATTCAATCTACAAGGTGCAGAAACACAAGTGTAGGGTAGAGATAGAAATGTGTTAATACCATTCTTCATTTCAGCTCTGAATAAGTTCAGACTTGGATTTTGGACATCCTGCACAGGAGCTCTGGTGTATGTTGACAATTTCTTTCAAATTATTTCGTAGTTTTAATATTCCACGTGCGAAGCGAGAACTGAGTCAGCTGAACAAATGTACTTCCCCTCAACAGAAGCTACTTTGTCTACGAAAAGTGGTACAAATTATCATGCAGTCTCCTAACCAAAGAGGTCAGTAAACAGTGAATTAAAATAAAGCTGAGATTATTTTTTTCTTAACATCAATGCACTGTGGTATATAAACACCTGTTTGAATTAGTCTTGTGCGTTAAGCAATTACATTCAGATCTGCAGAGATCTAAATAAAATGATTGCAACATGAGCACTTCAGCGCTTTATAATAAGAGTAAGCTGAAGTACTTGATTAACTGTATGTTTTAGCTAGAGCATATGACAAGCTTATGTAATCTAGGACTTTCTCATGTAAGAAAAAAAAATGTCATCCATTTAAAACACCAAAGTTGCTGCTGGCTTATTCTTGTCTGCTTGTCTGTGCTCCATGATAATCTTGAAATCAGAAGTACAGAGATGTGTCACTGCAAAATGCAGTGTTGGGGGGCAGAGTTAGGCGAACCTTATATATAGTACGTTGAGTGCCACTGTTGATTCTGTGATACTTCAGGAACATACAGACCTGCTGATCTGATTCTTATTTTATGTAGCCTGGAAAGGGAAGATGCTTCCAATAGGCAAAAAAAGTGGTGCACTAGAATACTGCTTACTTCACAGCATCACTTTCTCCTGGATGGCCCTTGGGATATGAAAAAACATGTCAATGGACAGTGTTCACCTTCACGCTGTTGTTCTGACTTCTCCAGGAGGGAATGCTTAATTCAGTAATTCAATAATTAAATATTGCAGCTGTATTTGGTTTTTTTGGGCTCCTGGAAGTCTGTTTTTAGAGAGAGATTGAGAACATACTTTTGAGAGATTGCGTTGGTTACTAGTCAACTGGGAGAGCTGACCATTAGTCTTAAGAGGCAGAGCTGCATTTATGGGCATTAGTTTTGGTTTGAACCGTGAGATTACTAATAACGGATATAAATTCTTTCTTTTAGTTAACATGGAAACCATGTGTGCAGATGATCTTCTCTCTGTCTTGCTGTATTTACTTGTAAAAACAGAAATCCCAAACTGGTATGTAACTTCTTTGGCTGTACAAAGCTCCATCATATTGTATATAATGGTGCAGTGGGGTCAAATGTTTCTGGATTTCTAGTAGTAGCCTACCCAATGTCTAAGAGGGGTGATGTGATTCAGAAAACTAGTCAGATAAATAGCAAAGATGTGATAGAATTCAGGACTTACTGGGAATTCAAGTGTTGTTTTGATTCCAAGACTGGGAAACTGTTGCAATGGGGAAATCTTCCATTTACTGGATCTGCATGTCCAGTGTGGACTTTGTACTGGTTCATCCACATTTGCATTGGAACTGCAAAACTTTATGCAGTTTCTAGATGCTTGAGATACATTATATGGAGAAATGTGATTTGAAAGCTTAATTGCTTGCTGGCATATGCTTTTATAGTTATTTCATCTGTTGGGAAAGGTATGTATAAACCTCTATCTGAACAGTAGTGTTAGTGTATCCCAAATCTCAGATATTAATGATTTACCCTGGTACTTACAATGCTTGAAACTTGTGAGACATTATTTCTTACTGTTGTCCTTACCTTGTCCTTCATATTTGTTATATCTAGTTTTTAACTTTGTATCACATAATGAAGAACTGAAGTGTTATGATCCTTCTGCAAAGCTCAGAACAGCTATGATAATGCCAGCCTAATCTTTCTAGAAGTTTTTTCTTGACTCACATTTAATATCTGCCTGGATTGTCTCAAATGAGCTGTGAATAAGGTATGACATGCTAGTGTCAACTTTAATGGTTCATGGTTTTAAATTTATTTCAGGATGGCCAACTTGAGTTACATCAAAAACTTCAGGCTTTGCAGTTCGGTGAAGGATGAATTGGGATACTGTCTAACCTCAATTGAGGCTGCAATAGAATACATACGACAAGGCAACCTCTCTGACAGATCAACAGTAAGCTACTCTTAAAGTCTGTCAAATGTGATTTTGATAAGGTTGCACAACTATGTACCACTTCAATCAGAAGAAGCAAACAGCTAACAAGTTCATTTTTCACCCTTCGAAGGTTAGGAGGCAGCTATACCTGAAGCAGAAGCTAAAATGTTATAATGAAGTGCCAGTCCTGTAGGAACACTTGCTCACTGTACACTTTAAGGAGTAGGTATATCTGAAGTAGATGTCTCTTCATCATGACTAGAAACAATGACATTCCATTTTTTTTTCCAAGAGCTGAATTTTAAGAAAGCTTTTAATACTTTGTCTTCATTCTGTTGTGGTTGTGAAAGCAATGCAGTACATCACGGTAGGCATAGCTTGAACTTAAAAACGTTTTTCTTGAAATTTTAAAAAGCTTAGCTAGCAGAATGAAGATTTACTGGATAATTTTACATTACACTGCAGTTGAAGTTCTTTAAAAATAAAAGTGATTGAGGTGCACATAACTCCATTACACAAAGTTGATAATTTAGTGGGAGTGCAGGACTGTATCATATTAGAGCTTAAAGGTCAAATTTGTTTCTCAGGATTTCTAATACAGCAGGGACTGAAAGTTTGTGGATCTGTTGCAGCTAGACCTTCTGTCAATAAGGTCTGATCTCTTTGGGAATCCTGAATGATACTGATGTGACTTCAGAAACTTTTGTGCTCTGAAAACTTTCCAGCTTATTAAAGATATTCAATCTTGCATCTTCTGCTTAAAAGAAAATTCTGAGTCTACTATTGCAAAATTTTTTTCATGCTCTGTTGTAGAAATCAAAAGTAGCTAACTCAGAACCAGAATGAATTTGTGTCTCAGTCTGTCCAACTGCAGAGCACTGGAATATAATTGCAGGAGCCAGACTAGTGGCTCAGTGTGCAGGGCTTGGGATGGGACAACCTGGGGCACAATCTTAAACACTTAATTTTAATCTTTTTGCTATTTGTGGCTTTGTTTTTTGTTATTCTCTCCATGAATTTGTCATGCATGTGTTGGTTTTGTACACAAAAAAAAGCACTCTTCCTTTTTATGTATAAAGAAATTATGGTACTACTTGTTTGCAGTGTTGTTTCAAATTGTTAAGGAAAAAAAGAATAAAAATGTTAGTTTGAAAGGAAAACAATTTGCCAGTCAATTTTGCTTCCTGCAGTCACTTGGCTGACATAAATAATTAATACACAAATAGCAGTCTAATGGTCTTGAAGGAGAACTGGAGCCAAAGTAGAATTATCTTCCCCAAAGTATCAGCAAGTTGAAGAAAATAAAAACTGTTTCTGATGAAGTGCCTGCTTCTATCTCTTCTTACCCAACTAAGGCTAGCTTTTCTTTTTCTATGAACTGGAATTACCCTTAGTGATCATAACTTCCTGTTAAGTGTCACTGTCAGTAAGATACTGTGCTTATTTATCTGGGAGATGCTTGTCTTGAAAAATGAACTACATCTCAGTCTGTATGAGGGCAATCCTATGCTACTTACATAAGTGTCTGCACCAGTATACAGTGTTCAGAAGAGCAAGCTTTCCTCCATATCTCAGCTGGATCAGCTCCAGACCAGGTCTGCAAGTTCCCCACTTTCTGCCTTTCTACTTGTGTATATGAGCAAGCAGCAGGAACTCTCCACACCTCCTGTCACAGCAGTCAGCATGACTAGATGAGGGGGGAGAACAGGAGTTTTGAAGACAAGGAAATGAATCACCGCATGGTCTCTAGCACAGTTTAAAAGGAAAGACCATTGTCACTACTGCAGGTAGAAAGGAAAGGTGATACACCTGGTTTCTGCCTCTTTGTTGTAATAGATAAGCCCTACCATGGGAACTGAAAAAAGAAAGTAAGGAGATGGATGAACTAGCAGAAACTTCTGATGGAATTACTCTCCCTTCAGAAACCTAGTAGTTTAGGTATTTCCTTTATTCTGTTTTAAAGGAGATCTGCTTTCTGCTTAAAAGCAGCAGTTGTCAGATTGATGTCCTGTGGCTTCTATTTCCAGATTGAGCTCGAAGGGTTTCAGGCTCTGAGCAAGAACATTGCTGTGCCCTGGGCCTTCGTTACAGCTCCTCATGTGGCTATGTTTAATTTTATAGTTGGCTTCAGATGGCGTTTCTGATGGCTGACTAATGCTCTTGTCCAATCCCTAATGAAACCAACTACAGAAGGAGAACTCCACAGGGAGCTAATGTACCCTGTGGGATAATGGTATATCATCTTCATGTCAGTAAGAAAATTGCACTTAAGAAAAACTTACCCGGTTCTTCGCTACGATGATACAAGTCTTGGAGAGACACTTTCAGTGTGGGTCAAAAGAAGGAGAGAAGCATGCAACTGATAGCATGGAGGGCTACACTTTTTTTTCTGGTGCTGGTCAAACTTGTTTAATGGGATTCCAGTCTAATAAATATTGGACCCTTGTTAAATTCCTGTGTACAGCTAATACACAGACCTAATTTAGAGAGTTGAAGGTGGATACAAAACAGGGACTTTCTTGAAGCCATGCACAAGAAAATAGGTAGCATTTAGATTCTTGCATGGAAAGAGCTGTAGATGGCCCTGGAGTTGGAACTGAAGGAGTGCATGTAGGAGGGCAGGAAGGGAAGTCTCTAACATAAGCTGAGGTTAATAAGGTTCAGGGAGTGGGGTGAAGAGAGAGTTTTCACAAGCTGTAAATGGTTATTGGTGGAATTATTCTGGATAGGTTGCTATATAGAGACTCCTCTTTGAGTGTACGTATCTCTTTGTATAAAGAATTGCATCAGATAAAAACATCATTCATGTTTGGTTGTAGATTAAATAAAACTTAGATACAGCTGTCATACTTAATAAAGTCCCACTCTAAGCAAAGCTTTATTTTAATTCTTGGAGTGGAAGTTAAGTTGTTACAAGTAATTTTGTCTTTGAAGGACTTATTTTGGCATTTCAACCAATTCCTGATTCTTATGCCATTCCTTTTTTCAAGATCTTATTTATAAATGATATGTAGCTTCACCTGTAATGGACTTCTTCCTGACTCATGTAATAAAATGATAGTCTTATCTCTTCACATAAAGATTGCTGTCTTAAATGGCTCCTTGTTTTTTTCTGTATTTGAAATGCTTTTCATGTAAAACACACCATGAAAGGGACAGTATTAAAGCTATGCTAAGTTTTGCTGCTTTTTGAGATTTTCTATGAAATACAAAGCATGCAAGCAGCTATTGAAATTCTTCAGTGATTTTGGTATTCAAGCTTTAAAAATTTTTCATAGCTAATGAAGATTTTGATCAATTTTTTTTTAATGGATGTTATTCCTGATCACACGTAAGAATCTATCTGAGGAGATCAAGGATCACGTACTTCTGTTATTCTGAGAAGATAGACATGGGTATCTTTAGCTGAAGTGCCTAGATTTGAAAAACTCGTGAATGTCACCTTCATGTCTCTAAATTCAAAACCAATAAAAATAATTTCACATCAATCAACTTTTTCTTCTTAATAAGGTGAAATCTGAGCTAACAGTTTTTCTTCTGTTATTATAGGAAAAGCAAAACAAATAGCATAAATAGCTGAACGCAGCAAGCCTTTCCAAATAGTTCAGGCTTTAAAAGCTGTCAGTTACATTAGCTACGGTGTTAGGAAGGGTGGTCTTATAAACATACAACCAAATGACCGTGTAGACGTGTTAAGATTGTACAGACTGATTGACTACTGAGTTCACAAAGATACCATGTGTCTTACGAGGGAGGTTTTAATATTGTGATAGAGAACAGAACCACATCCAGGTTGCAGCTGTTCGGTTTCTACCGCAGTCTTGGATTATTTATCCATTCTAAAATGTCAACATTTGAAGTATTGAAAGAAGTGCTATTTATAGATAACATACTGTGAAGTACAGATCTGAACCTTCATCTCTGTAGAGCTTTCAAATGTTTCTAACAACCTTATTGGCTTTATCAACAGAGGATTTTTTTAGGCAGCACTGCAAGAGAGGTGTTGATTTTGGGACTTCCTTGATGAAATTTCAAGAAAATCTGAATTTTTACTTGCTGTAACTTTTAATTTTTACTTCTAAATGAGTATTTTGGTAATTTATTTACGTATTTTGTCTTCAGGAATCCGATAGGCTGTACGACAAGTTGCTTTTAAAACAAAGGATGAACTTTTTGTCCCAGATGTCTACTACTCCGATAGATTGCTTATTTAAGGTGAGTAACTTTATTGGCAGAACTATATGCATACTTACTTACTTCATATTTATATACTGTCCTTTGTGCGATTGTCTGAAACGTAACACAGCGTTCATTGTATTAGTACTGCAAAATATGTTTTAGTAGTTGTTAAAAGTATGCTTGCATTTCTGTGCCAAAACATTACCAAGTTAATATGACTTCATGAATTCTGGTGCCTAAGAAGTATGGACTCAGATGTCGATGAAATGCTACTGCTATTGGTATTGATCAGTCCATTTAAAGCAAGTATGTAATGCTAGTAATTGCTTGTGTCTCACTACCTTTAGTGCTTAAAATTAAAGAGATTGCTGAAACAACTTAAATGTACTCACCTGATAGCTACTTCATGTTATGTGCTTGTCTCTGACTGTTCTAGAAGAATTTTCCATGTACAAGGAAACAAAGCAGAGCTTTTAATTTTATGTGTTTGCTGTTTATGGCTAGAGACATAGTAATTTTATAGAAACGTTTTTGCACAGAGGAGCTCAATTAGACCGAGTCTAATTGTTTTAATTTTTTTTAATAGAAAGCGAGGTAAGCCAAGAACAGATTATTTTTAATGCTGAATGCCCATTAAAGGGTTTTATTCTGTGACATTCATTTCTGCTTTCTAACGGTTGAGTTTGTGTCGTTTATGATCAGTTTCTTTGTTTTTGTGGTTCAGTAAGTTGTTTTTCTTTTTTTCTAAATTTTTGTGAGGATGGCTTTTTATATCAGTTCCTCATTCTCTTTCTTCTCTTGGCTTTTTGTAGCATATTGCTTCAGGTAATCAGGAGGAAGTGGAGCGATTACTAAGTCAAGGTGACAGTGATAAGGACACTGTACAAAAAATGTGTCATCCGCTCTGTTACTGTGACAAATGTGAGAAGCTAGTTTCTGGGTAAGCACTTTTTATCTCTGCAAATGCAGAAAAAGCTATGTAAGAAGTGTTAATGTAGATTTACTTCAGGATTTTGGTAGCGCTTCAGGATATAATAAAAGAGCTTATGTTCATGTAGTTTGAAACAGCAGAAGAAATATTAGGAGGGTACTGAATGCTTTGGATCTGAGCAAATTTTGTGATGGAGGCTGTATATCTTTTGGTAAGTGTGATGTGGAATGTTTCTTCTCTTGAGCAAAACTTACACATCGTGGACAAAAACACTCTCAAAAAACCTAAAACTTTGGATAGAATAATTTGTCAGTGTGAAAAGTTAGAGGATAAGGAGTTCCAGCATCAGTTTCTTGTCTTGGCAGTTTGTCTCTCTTCATCTCCTCGTTAACCCTGCTGCATAGGTAATTGAGCTGCTTTTAAACCACTGTGTTTTGTAGGAAACTGAATGATCCTTCAATTGTCACTGCATTTTCCCGAGATGACCGGGGATATACACCACTTCATATAGCTGCTATTTGTGGTGGGTCTCATTGGTTTTCTTTGCTAATGTTTTCACCTTCTTATGTTCCACTTTTTCCTGTTAAGATCTTTTCCAACTTTCACTATACAGTGAATTTAACGTTGAAGTGTTTTTAGCTTATTAGCTATGAGAACTGATATCTTGGCCCATGCTGAAGTTTTCTTCTAAGCTCTTTTAAGTTTCTTATGGGCAGGTTATTGTTTGTTTGCCAGTTTACTTTTGCCTCCTATGGTTCTTTCTTCAGTTGTGAAAAAAGTTACAGTTTCATCAGAAACCAGTCATGTTTTTAAAGAACTTGCAAATTGAGAAATTAATAATTTCTTTCTCCTGTAGCTGGCTATACATGGTAGATCTGTACCATATTCTGTCTTGTAATATTCACTGTACCATTGATCTTTAATTTTTTAGAAGATGAATTAGTTTTCTCTGTGGCTCCTTTGTTAACCACCTTCATTCTTTTATTATTATCTTGAATCCTAACGTGGGAAAGGTTTGTGTGACATAACTTTATTTTCTTATTCAGAATACAAATGTAGCTTGCTTTTAGCTGGTGGTTCTTTTGCAGAGTCTTGACCACGTGTAACTTGCAACAGAATATATTCAGTGGGAAGTATGTAGAAGGATAGCATGCAGAAATGGAGGTTATCATGTTTGAATACGAAAAGTAGCAATGTTCTTTAGAAAACTTTACTTCTCTCTTCTAATGACTGTGTATTTTCCAAGGGCAAACATCATTAGTGGATTTACTAGTAGCCAAAGGAGCCATTGTCAATGCTACAGATTACCATGGTTCAACTCCACTTCACCTTGCCTGTCAGAAGGGATATCAAAACGTTACAGTAAGCACTAAAAGGCTTAATTAGAAATAAAAGCAAGTACTTAACCTAAATAATAGATATCTGACTCTTACTAAGTTCTTCTACTGTTATTGTCATTTGGGTCTTCGCCGAAGGTTTTGCTAGACATGTACGTGCTGTCAGAATTGAGGATCTTTCAGCATTTTTATTTGCATATTTTATGTTTTACTTTACTGGGAGGTTTTCTGCCATTCATAATAACTAAGTAATTGACAGCTGTGAATGCCTGAGAATTAATCCATTTTATTAATACAATGTAGTATCAATGGAAAACCTGTTAAATTTTTGCTCTTGGCTAGGACAAAAGAGCCATTGCAGTCATTGGAAATAATTAAATTTCTTCAAATCGTGTTTAGGATAGACCGCCTATGTTGCATGCTTGAATTTTGTATATGTGAGATCCTTGAGTTACCATGGCTTAAATAATTCTATGTCTTCACCACTATAGGCTGCTAATATGCAGGGTAAATTATTTTGTGGTATATGTATTGCAGTGTTTGCTGCATTAGATGATTCATTTTTTCAGTGACAAATCTGAATATGTAACCAGCACTTTATTTGTTTCTTGGGTTAGGGAAAAAAAGAAGTGCTGTAATGCCAAAAGGGACTGTTAGTATTTGAAGCAGGAGGGACAGACAGTTTTTCATGAAGTGTTTCATCATACTAGAAACCTAAAGGAATATACAGAGTAACAGTTGTTTCTGTATTAATCTTTTAGTTATTTAGATGTCTGCTTTTATTTTTCTTCTAAGCTTCTCTTATTGCACTATAAGGCAAGTACTGACGTTCAGGACAATAATGGAAATACTCCACTCCATTTAGCCTGCACCTATGGTCATGAGGATGTAAGTAATTGTTTTGTAACAAACTAAGTGGATATCTAAGTGGAAAGGATTTAAACCATGATACCAGTTTGCACAAGACTTCCATGTTTTAAAAAGAAAATAAATTGGAGGGTAACTGTTTAGTGCTGTAAATTAAGACTTGATTCAATACTTCATAACAATTTTAATTATACATTCACATTAAATATAATATTGTGCTAATTTAGTTATTAAACAAAGAGTTAAAATCAAATAACACTCAACTATAAAAGCCTGTCTTTTAGGCAGTGAATTATATGAGTAGGAATGAAAACAACCCATTTAGCATTGCACATGTTATATGAATTGGAGACTATACAATAATTTATTAATGGCTGTCCTTTTCTTTCCAGTGCGTTAAAGCATTAGTCTACTATGATGTGCATTCCTGTAGACTAGATATTGGAAATGAAAAGGGAGATACTCCTCTCCATATAGCTGCTCGTTGGGGTTATCAAGGGATCATTGAAGTGCTTTTGCAAAATGGGGCAAATCCAAGTACTCAAAACCGGATGAAAGAGACTTCGCTACAGTGTGCATTAAATTCCAAGGTACTGTTGCTTATCTTCCAGCTTGATTTCTCTTTGATGTAGTTCCACAGAAGTGTGGCTGCTTACCTGTTAAGAAGATTTTGTACTTTAATACTGTTTAAGTTAAAATGTATGTTTGCTTTTGAGGTAAAATGGTTGTGTTTTAAATCTAGCAGTATGAATGCAGTCTCCCAGTAGTACAGAACATAAATTTGCAGACTGGTACTTTTAATCTGCTCAGTTGTGATCTGTTACTAATATTAGGTTGTCAGCTAATTTATGTTTCAGTTGGTGGAGTTACATTGGTTTTCTTTAATATTTTTATGCAGATTTTGTCACTGATGGAATTAAACTATCTAACCTTTGAGCGGGGACAGAGTGCTTCTGAGGTAACAACCAATGGAAATCACTGAACTTTTTTTTTTCTTACATTTAACCTGCTTAATCTGATGATGTAAGTTTTTCTGTGTTTTTGTTTTTTTCTTTTTCCCAACTTGAAGTCACCACTTAGGTCTCCTCAGCACTCAACAGAAACTTTCAGCAGAGGATCATCTGTCTCTAGTTTGTCATCAGCATCAATTGATGTGAGGCAAGATGAAGTGAAGAACAGTTATAAAGAGGTAAGACTGAGGTAAAAGTAAAGTAAGTGAACCTAGAAGAGCGATATTGTATAGGACTGTTTTAAACTGCTTCTTCAAAAATATTCTTTTTCTTTTCCTTTTTTTACTTCATTTGGGACCTTAAATCCATACTTCAGATTTATACCCTCCCAAGATTGTCATATCATCACTCCTTCTGATACTGTTTGTATTTCTTTATCTTCTGTTCCATTTTTTCCAATTTGATCTCCACAGTATCTTTGTTTCCCTCCATATCATTTCTGCATTTTAATTTTTTGCATTCCTTCTGCTATAGTTCTCCTCTTTCCAAACTTTCCTGTTTTCTAAAAATCGTCAGGAAACTTTACATCATTCGCCAGAAAGACAATATTAATTCACACTTTGGTATCTCTTTAGTCTGTGGGAGCCTAGATGTCCAAGTGTACCTCTGTGTGCACGCAGGCTCTGTGAGTGAGGTCTAATGTATGTAAAACTTTACCTGATAGATTGAGGATTTGCTTTTTCTTGAGGGAACAAATTTATCGCTCATGAGAGCTAAGATGTAGTTCAAACCAGGGGAAAAGATTACAAGCAGCTTATACCTTATATTCTTGGGGTTAATGACCTCTTCCTTTAATCCAGCTTTAGGTCAGTTCTGTTTGCCAAGTTTCAAATGGGCTCACTGCTGTTATTCTTACTAAGCAAAGAGACAAGGGCCTAATCCTGAGAGATCCTCATAAAGGGAATGCCACTGGAAGTAATGGGAAACTGGTAAGATCAGTTTTCCAGACTTCAAGTCTTAGATCATGGATTAAAGAAATGCAGTGGGGTCTTTACTACTGCTAGTTATGGCATATGGTCTTGAATGTATCTCATTTACAACTTAGAAAAGAAAAAGAGCTAGACATGTAAATTTGTAATGTCATTTGTTGGAACTGATGACTCTTAGTAGAATTTCTGTTCAGCAGCAGAAAAGCTGAGTATGTGAATAAGTTACAGTAGATTTCATCAAGTGGCTTTGTTTCTTTTATTTTTACATTTAAAGGAGAGTACTTACCTTCCACAGAGAAATGAGAAAGCAAGCTGGAAAAATGGAGGAATGCTCGAAGCAGACATTTTAGCCTGAGTACTCTTAATAAATAATCCATAAGCTGCATAATAGATTTATATATTTCTTCACTGTTAAGGCCTGGGGCAGTTTTTAGAACTCTAAGGAAGTTGTTTTTGGAAAGAAATTATCAGCGCTTGTGGGTCACTTGCTATTACTGTTAGGTATCTTCTATGTGATAAGACTGATCCCTGAAAATCATTAACAGCTTCTGTGATGACATTATTCTGTATGATTAGGGAACTGTGCTAAGGGAAATTTAAGGGTGGTACAGATCTTCTTAATATATTTAGTCCATTTTAGATGTGCATGTGCAGGGGATACAGCTTACCTGCCTTCACATGTCTGAAGGACAATCGTCTTAAGTTTTTCTCCTTAATTGGTGGAGAGAAGTTAGTACCTCCAGAGCACCATTCTTCTCAGACATCTTAGATGCTTAATTTGAGCTGAGCTGTACTCAGGTGTTGTTTGTCTGCATTCTATTTTGCAGGTACCAGGGAGGGAATTTAGATGTAGACAGATGGCTTTTACACATTGCAAGTTGGGTAAGAAGAATGCTGCCTTGAGGGCCTAGTGCATGACTTCAAGGAACTTCACCTTATACTAGAACTGTAGTAATGTGGAAGAACAGAATTTAGTAGCTTCCCTAAAAGGAAATAAAAAGGGATGGAGAGATTTAATCTAGCCTCTGTTTTTTTGCCTGTACAAGATTTGTCCTGCTCTGATAAAACCCTGAAGGAGGTCAGACCAGCGAAATATGGCTTCCTTTTAGTTTCATTCTTCCATGTTTGTTGTACCAAATATTAAAGTCACAGCCTGCTTGTCTTCCATCTGAGATTCCCTTCCTACTTTACATAGCTGCAGAGAGTTCTGAAGTATCCTTAAAAGTCCCTTGCTGCTCTTGCAGTGTTTCACCGCTCAGCATCCACCATTAGCAGTATCTAGGCTGACATTACCATTCTGTTTATCCAAATGTAACATAATTTAAAGATTCTTAACTTTACTTGTATTTGTAACCTGGCATAAAACAATAATAAAACTCCTTCCAGAAATGCTATGGAAAGGAGCTGATAGCTTATGCACAAAATGTAGAGTTAATCAGAAACATTTTATGTACATTCATGCCTTTTAAAAATTAAAAACTCTCTATCTTGCTAACAGCTTTCTGATAAATATTTCTGTTTCCCAGAATGTACTAGAGTTGTAATGTGAAAAACAGCTAGTTTGTAGTCAGGTGGGCTATGTTCAACTTAAGAATAGATCAACAATTCCTTTTTTCCCCACCCTTCCAGAAAAGTGAAGACTACTTAAAGTACAGTAGTGATGAAACATAAGGTCAATGATGTGTAAATTGCCATTAGTAACATAAGTAAAGCTGTGCACTTTCAAGGAGTGTCCATTTATTTCTGTTATATGAATAATAGTGACTCCCTTGAGTGATACTGTCATATACGCTTTCTAAAGGAGTTTTCCTGATAGCGTGCTTTCTGGAACTGGAGTGAGAGGTGAAACTATTTTATTGCTATCAGTTATATCTTTTTGTACAGCATGCTGAGCAGTTGTTATAAATGTGTTGAGATGCAGCTGTAATGAGCAATCTTTATCATATTTAGATAAAGATTGAAATGCAACTCTAGCTGTTACTCCATGACATATTCAACTTGAGATTGAACTTGATTGAAACAACTTTGTTCTTACAGCAGTCTCTTTGGTGATATTGGCACAGTGCTGGAATAATTTGCTAAAGTTGATAAGAGCCCAGACAACAATAGTGCTCATCAGGGCAGGAGTTTCACTTGTGCAAAGTTTTCTTTAGTTTTAAATTCACAACAGTAATGTATGGTCAACTGTATGCTGAAACAGTGTAATAATGTGTAGCAGCTTATATGGCTTTCCCTATAAGTAGATGGGTTGTGTTCTATTTACGTAAGTACTGTTTATCTTTAACTGATGACCGAATGACTGTGAATGCACAGCTTTTGTAGTTATTTGTAATTAAAGGAAGGTGTTTTTTTCTTTAAAACTTTATTAGCAAATATAAAATGGCCAGCACTAATCCAACTACATTAGCTTAGGGATTGGTAAGAGAGACAGGATTTTCTATGCACAGCTTAATACTAACTAAGCAAATGAATTTTCTTCATACATAGGTGGAGAAACTCCTAAGAGCAGTTGCTGATGGAGATCTGGAAATGGTGAGTCCTAAAATGGCTGTTGAATATTACTGAATTCCAATTTACCTCATTCAAATTGAGGAAGTTATTTGTAAATAATAAGGTATTAAGCGAAGCATTCTTATCTTCCTTCAGAAACAAATATATAGACCTTGTTTTCTACCAAGAATTTTCACTTGATGTCCTCAAATCATTTTACCTACAGTGCTTTGAGGGCTATTATTTTGACATTTTCATGACCATTCAGTAAAGAAATGAATTTGGTTATGTAACGTAGTGTCGACTAGATGGGAGCTGTTGGTCTAATTTAATATCCTTTTTTTAATTGCAGGTTTATATGACATTAATGATATTTATTGGGGCGCTATTATGATTTTGGAAAAAAGTTGTCACACATGATAGAGCTATTACTGGGTCATCTTCATCAGAATTTTGTTGGTAGCAGTTTTTGAAAAGAAGAAGAAATTTTCATGAGTTCCAAGAGCTGAGATTTACCTTGAAAAATGAATCCGTGTGCACAGGGAACCACTTTTATCCCTTTAATCCCCTGTACTTAAACTATGGCGTACGTAACAGTGCTTTACATTCCAGTTTGCTGGAAGAGGTAGAACAGATAACAAGTAAAATCCAAGGAGTTGGAAGGGAAATTTGCTGCTTGCTTAGTATTAGTGGAATTGTCTTTATTTATCCCAATATTCCTGATACACAAGGTTGCTATTTCTGTTTTATTTTTATGGTTTTTCTTGCTCTTGCTGCTCCCTAGGTTCATAGTGTGATTTTTGCACATACTGACTTTGGTATTCTTCTGGGGGCATTACGTGAATAGCATCTTGTATTTCTGTATATTTTAGAATCCTCTTTTATTTTCTATTTTGGCCACTTTAAATAATTTTGTCCCTTATGAAATACTGCTGTTTAAAAATGCATGCCTAGCCAGATATGGCTACATGCCTACATTTCTGCATTATCTAATGGTTTGAATGTTGTCTACTGTTTGTTTTGCAGTGTAAAGCAGAGTAAATGAAAAGTGGGCCCTTATTGTGATTGTGTTATTGTGATACACTTTTATTTATAGTTTATGCTTACAGAAACCTTTGGTTATAGCAGTCAATACAGAATAGGAATTACCTTAGGAGCATACAACTTTTCTGTAGTCTAGATCTCTCTTCAGTAGATGAGTTGGTGTTTATAATAGTATCAGATTCAGAGCTGGTGTCCTGTAGCTTGGAATACTTGTTGTTTTGATGTTCTTTTGAGTTGCTATGACCATTTATGTCCAGAAGTTTGAAAAATAAAATGTTTCCAATGACATTCCACTGAAAACTTGAAGGTGTTGCTTAGAAATCTTTACAAGTTTTATATTTTCAAAACATACATAAGGCTGTATGTTTCTGATTTGTTTTGTACTTCACGGGACAAAAGCATGAACCTGGGAATGCAGGGTTTCTCTTCAGGAGGCATATTCTGAAAAAATCATTTAGGTGTTATGTACTTTGGGAGTTTCACATCCCCATTGCACAGTCATAATAAAAAGAGAGAAAGTACAATGCAAAATGCATACAGTGTTAATACTGTATTTTGTCCCAGTTTGCTGATAAGAAGGAATTTATTTATCTGGAGATAGAGGAAAGGATCATGGGAAAGAAGTGTAAATGTCATTGTTCTAGTTTATAGCATAGCTTAATCTTAGCAATTATTTCCAAATCAGCCCTTAAGGTCTTTCAAGAAGCAGCAATATACACAGCAGTGACATTTACTATGGCCTTAGCAAATAGTAAACAAGAGCATATTACAATTAGCTCTTCACAGATTTTGTCAAAATCTAAACTATCATAAAATACTTAAGGAAAATTAAATATATTGTTATAATCTGCTAGAAAATAAATATCTAGCACTGATCAAGAGACATCGTCAGCGAGAAGCATTTAGAAATCTAACATGCATTCAGATGACAGTCACCTTATTTTTTCTGGCCTTACTTTCCACATTATTCAAGTTTATGTAAAATTTTTCATTAGAAAGAGAACTGTTCAACTGGATGGCATGCATGCTTGCATATAAGCATATCATCTACAGCTTGCATATCTGTTTTAAAAAGGGTCATTTGAAAATTCTTATCTTGTTCTGACGGCCCGAGTTCTGTTTCCATAGGAACAGAAGCATCAGAAGGGTCATTAGTGTTGTTGTAGATTTCTCCTCTGACAGCCAGTTCAGCTTTTCAAGAGGAGGCATTAAACAAAGTGCCATGGAACTGGAAGATGGAACAAAAATAATAATTATGCTCTGATTCTTCAGGAAGCCAAAAAACCACAACTTTTGTCATTATCATAGCACCTGCAAACTTCAAAAGCAATTATACTTTAAATTAGAGATAATTATGTTAATCAGAGAGAGTTATTTTAATTAATTGACCCAATGACAGTTCTGCATTCTGAAAATAACATTCAGCTCACTTTGGTAAATCCTCTGTGTCCTTAGTGAGAAAAAAGAATTTGAGGACAGTATAGAAGATCTGTCTAGAAAGGATTAAGCTTTATTACCCAAATATGTTTCAGTTATGTAGCAGCTTTTTGCAAGGAGGTTCTCAAACTGTACTTTCTACATGGTCATTTACTGCAGTAATGGAGCCTTCACTTATTCTAAGGTATCTTTAGTTTACAGTGGATGAATGGATTCCAGTGTAAAAATATATTTCTTCAATGGCTTTGTTGTGTAGAATTTAGTTTAAAATTAACTTGCAGTAAGTGTCACTGCATGCAAAGCGTTCAGGAATGCTCTGAATCCTAAGACTAATTTCACTGAAGAGCTCTCTCTTAAAACTGTCAAGCTTCTGGGAAGTAAAAGACATAGGAAAAATCAGGGCACCTGCAAAGCTTGGATATTGATTAAATGTTGTTATCCTTGTCACTCCTTGTGTTTGTTAAAGAAAAAAGTGAAGCAAAATTCACGTTGACAGGAGCTGGCACAAATCTTGGTCTAATCATCATCTGAGCTAAAGGGATTTGGAAGGTTTGAGCAGAGGTGAACACTGAAGTCTTGATTAGGCAGCAGGAAGTCATTTATAATTTACTTCACTGCTATACTTGGTGAATTTTCTAGCTGCTTTGTCAACAATAACATTTGATGTTTTAATTTGCCTCCAGGGAAGTGATGGCAGGAGGTAGCTGTATAGTCTTCCTGTGATGTTCACAAGTATATGTTTGTGAAATTGTACTTATATAAGATGCAGATATGCAGATTTATTAGGATGTGGATCTATAAAGGAGGACTTGCTTTTTCTACCAGGTACGTTATCTCTTGGAATGGACAGAAGAAGACTTAGAAGACGAAGATGATGCAGTCAGTACATTGAAACCAGAATTCTGCCATCCATTATGCCAGTGCTCAAAATGTGGGCCAGCACAAAAGGTTGGAATATTCATTCTGTAAATAAAATAATGTGTGTTCATATAATTCAGCTTCTAGCTCAAGGGAAATAGCATTCATATAGCCCAACACCTCTGTATCTCTGTCCAAAAAGCGATGAAATATGTACAGACAACAACAGAACTCATGATAGTAAATTGTACAAGGCCTTATTTATCATGGAGTACGGAGGTTTTAAAATACACTTTTTTTTTTTTTTTAAGTAAGGAAATGATTCAGGCTGCTTGGAAATAGAATGCCAATTACTTGCCCTTCAAGAAGAATTGCTACTTTTTAAGACGTACGTCACCAGATAAGTCATGGGAGAATAAACCAAATTATAAATTTTCACTGCATTGGCTATTTTGAAGTAAAAGTATCATCCATAAAGAGCAAAGATGCTTAAGTTTTTCTAAATTTCTCACTGCTACCTTACTCTTATTTTGTGTAGGGTCTGTGGCTTGTTCTTTGATAACTTGTTTCCTTGCACTTCTGAATATGGAGACCATATGTTAAAGATGCCACACCTGGAGAATGTGAAGTTCTGCTGGTGTTGGGAAAGGAATAGGCTTTGGAATTCACTTGCCTACTGAATGAAAAGCAGAAGTCATTTGTTAACTGATCTGGTTAAGCATACCTTTTAAAGAACACTGAGGACAGGCAGGATGAAAGATCTACCACTGTGAACATTAGGCACCCATGCAGTCTGTGAAAGGAGTAAAAACAAACACTGCTGTGTAAGCCATGTTCCAGGTAGTTTTCTTGACTCCCCATGGAGTCTCTGCTCTGGAACAATGATACTTGCACGTGGAAAAAAATAATTTTAGTTATTATATGTATTACTTAGTAGTATTATCTAGTTCAGTAAAATAGGTACACAGTGTCTGCAAGAGCATGAGTGTCTATTTGTGAAATGTAGCTCATAAAGTATTAACACCCAGTCTCTGTATGTAACAGCATCCTAACAGCTATATAAAAACTCTGGGCCTTACTTCCATCTCAACCTGCACAGCTTTTGTCCCTTTTTAATAACATGAATACTTTGCCAGGAATTTCTATATAGGGAGCTATCATACTGAAAGAAAAAGAGAAAAAAACTTAAAAAATACTGCCAAGGTGCTCTGATTCACCAGTTGTTTTCCTGAAAGTCTTCAGTGAGGTTCTGTAGTTGAAGTTCTTGTGAAGTCTGTCCATCTGTTCGGTGTTTTACTTAGTAGGTATTTGATTGCTTTTTGGTCAATAGAAAGTAACAGAATTAATTAATTATTAATTATCTTGTTTTGTGTACTCCTCAACAGAAATTTGCAAGGGTCCCTGCTAGTGGCCTTGGTGTAAATGTGTCAAATCAAGATGGTTTTACGCCATTGCATATGGCTGCACTGCATGGACACTCTGACCTTGTCTCTCTGTTGTTGAAACATGGAGCCAGTATCAGTGCCAAGAATGCAGAACATGCAGTGCCTCTTCATTTAGCCTGCCAGAAAGGTCACTCCCAGGTAATGGAGCCTCTTCATGGATGCAAGCTATTTAACACAGAGCCATCAGCGAAAAACTCCTCTGTGAAATTAGCAACAAGATAAACCAGTTAACAGTTAAAATTAATTTAATGATGCTTAAAGCTGAGGTGATGGTTGGTTGGTTTGTATGGCCTAAATTATGGAAACTAGTATGATAAGAATTAGTGCTTTTGATTGTCATCTGTTTGGCAAAACTGAGACTTGTTTTCCTCAATCTTCTTTCTTCCATCCTTTTTCATTCTCTATTTACAGATTTATACATGTAAAGAAATGTGCATGATAGGTAGTATCTTAAATTAAAAAGTTACTTCTTCCTACAGGTGGTAGAATGTCTAATGAATTATAATGCCAAACAAAATAAAAAGGATGCATATGGAAATACTCCTTTAATTTATGCATGCTTGAATGGTCACTATGAGACTACTGCCTTGTTGTTACAGGTAAGATCACTAAAAACAGTGTTCAGAATACTACTTTTATGTGTTACTGGTGCTTGTTTAGGACTCAGATTAATATTACTATTTAAGCTTTTCTTCATTAAAATTACTCGGAAAAAAAATGAGTGTTTTTTTTCTCTTCCTCCTTTCACAGTTTTTGATGAGATAAATGTTAGTTTGCGACTGTACAGCTAACTGCTTCTATGAAACTTCTCTGTGGCACATGGCAGGTTTTCTTGCTTGTGATTGTATCAAATGGGTTTTTTTTAGCATTTTGTGTGTTGTTGTTTAGTTTAAGTCTCCTTTAGACTTGGCCTATCTAGAAGATGCACACAAAAAATGAAATGAGTTTCTTCATGAAATTGTGGCTATGAGAGAGTAGGAAATAATAATATGACCAGGTGGCTTATTGTTGAACTGGTGATTGCTAGCATATGCTTTCTGGTTTTGTATATAGCTGCAAGGCTGCTGTTGCTTTGTTCTCATTGCTACATAGAAAATGAAAGGGGAGAGAAGCACAATAATAACGTGCTATCTCAATTTTATGCTGCTTTTTCTTAACTCTGATTTTATTTTGCTGTCCAGCATGGAGCTTCTGTTAACCTTTCTAATGCCAAAGGAAATACAGCACTGCATGAGGCTGTGATAGGGAAAAATGAAGCCCTGGTAGACTTGCTGCTTCAGAATGGTGCAGTGACACACATACAGAATGAAATGAACTGTACCCCTGCAGACTGTGCTGAGCCGGTGAGTGCAGAAAGTTTGCTTCCAGCATTCGATTTTCTAAAGTTCCATAGGTGTAATGTAAAGCAAATGTAACTGCTTGTCACAGCAGCATTTTCGGCCAAGAAATTTGTATTCAAAAGTTATATGCGATATAAAGACTAAGATGCCTGTTTATTGTACCATGACTTGTGATATGTGAAAACGGTAGTGCTTCCAAAATAAAAATCCTAGACAAAAAGGATGAGCCTAGAAAGAGTGAATGCACATACACGTATGAAAATGGCCCTAAGGAAAATGCTAGTAGTGGCAGAGAGAGCAGAAGAAATGCAGGCTGGAGGAAAATAAACACCCTGTTTTAATCAGTTACCCTGCTAGCAATCTTGTTTCACCCACCATGTTTCACCCTTTGTGCTTTTTGATATCTTTTATCTTGTCGTCATCAACTTTCATTTTATTAATACTAGGTCATAAGGAGTTATTCTCTAAATGATTTGATGCATAGTTCCTATCTTATTGTACTTAAATAGTTTCTGACGTTTAGCATAACAGCCACAAAATTCTGTACTGCATCAATTTCAGTATGCATATTATCAATTTAATCATAAATGAGCTTTACCCATCAATGGTATAATTTGAAATAGTAGACAAAGGCTGCAAAAGCGTTTTTACATCGCACCTTGTGGAACACAGGCTTTGTCCAGAATCAAGCTGATACGAAGTCTTTGTTTATAAAGAGGTATTCTTGTGTACATTCGTTTCAGCAGCTAACACACCTGCATGAATTTTAATTCTGAAATTGTACTTTTATTTCCTTATTTTTATTTCAACACTGAAAACGGAAACTTCTAAAATTAAGAACTCAAATATCATTAAGTTGCTGGAAACAGCAGCAAGCTATGTACCTGCATCAGCAGAGGAAGAAAAGGAATGTGAGCAGCATGCTACTATCAAGATAAGAAGAAAAGGTACATGTCCTATTTCCACTGTTATGAATAAAAAGAGATTTAGGAATTAATCTGAGACAATATGATTTACATATAATTAAAGAATAGCCAACTGTTCTTCATATTTGTTACAGGAAACACTTAGAATAATATAACTAAATTCAGCAGACTTTTAATTACATATATGACATCTTTCACAAACTCAGTTTTCACTTCTTTGGTGCAGAGCAGGGAATTTTACATACTAAATCATTTCATGTTAAAAAGAAATAGCACGTTTGAGATTATATAATTAACCATGCAATACTTTGTCCATTTCAGTGCAAAGAAGGGATTAAATCACCTCTGGTTGTCATCCACATTGCCCTAAAACAGATTAGGCAATGATACTTCAGTGTGTTACTGTCTCTCAGATTATGGGACAGAAATCAAAGTTACGGAAATAATTTTCTAGGCCATCAAGCAAGATTTGCAAAAGAATGTCTTTCTGTAAATGGCAGCATTTAGTACAGTCTAAACAAATATATTGAGACACATGGTACAGTTTGATGGTACAGCTGAGCTGATGTAGCTTATTGCCGCTTAAAAGAAATGGTGTTACTCCTGGCCTGTCATCACTTCATCTCTCCTTCCCTCTGCTTCTGGTTGTTCTTATCCACTGCTTCCTTATGCTGGCTCAGAAGTTTTTCAGATGATTTCCCAGCTGATACAGTTCACAAACAGAGGAGAAGGGATATAACAAGTAACAAGTTTTGTGCTGAGCTGCACAACTCAGCATGGCAAAGGACTTGCTGCCACCCCACTTGTGGAAAGAAGACAGTTGAGGCCAGGACAGAGGGAAAAGGAGAGGCAGAAGTGCTCATTTCAGCATCCATGAGTTTTAGTTAGACTTTTCTAAGTACCTGATCTGCTTCCTCAGGAAAGAATGTAATTATTTTGTTAAAATTTATCACCATATGCTGTTGCCAGAGACTGATATAATCCTTTCAAATATCATGGGAATAGTTTTTAAAAGACCAGCAAAAGACATAACTAAGAAGTATTAATGAAGAGGTGGAAAAGCATTATTTATACACATTTGTAAAAATTGGAATGAGGAGCCTCAAAGTCCAGAATTAAATGGTCTCTCCAGAATCTTGGCCAGTCATGCTAATCTGATCAACAATGCTTACTCCTGCAACTTAAAATGGTTTAAAATTTCCAAAGAGAAATGGTGACTGATTCAAGTTATTACTGTTATATTTTTACTACAAAACTTTTTCACCTGTCAGTAGATACCACTTTTCATTCAGAACTTTTTTTTTTTTAATTCTTCATTGTGACTAAGTTGTACTTCTAGCTGCCTGTTCTTTTAAACCCCTAGTGAATGAGCCATGTGAGAAAGCTGATGATCCCATAAGAAGACAACATCAACTCGTCCAATCAATTAACAGATTTAACAAGTAAGCATAGAAGCTTTCGTGGAAGTATATTTATTGTTTCCCATAAGCAAACAAAACATGTAACTGTTTAATAGCACCCAAAAGTGGGCCAAGCATTGTTGCACATCAGGTATGACTGAGTAGACAGATACAACAGTAGACATTAATCCACAGAGGCATAAACATTAATATCACCAGACAGATGTTCTAGGTGTACTCAGTGGTGGTGAACAGCAGTGATGTGAAGCAGAAAGGGGAAAAGCTGGCTTCTGAAGGTAGTACTGGCAAACATATTTACAATAGGTTTTGCACTGATACTTGCTATGCCATAAATCAGCAATTTCTGAGCCAGATTGTTTTAAAAATATCTTAATGCTTCACTCAGACATTGAGTTTTGGCTATTATCTTCCAAATTTCAGTTTATACTGTGTGATAAAATGATGCCCCATCCCTGGAGACCTTCAAGGGAAGGCTGGATAAAGCCCTGGGCAACCTGATCTAGCTGTGGTGTCTCTCTTCATTGCACGGGAGTTGGACCAGATGGCCTCAAAGGTCCCTTCCAACTCGAAGGATTCTATGATTTTAAAATATAGAAGATAGTAGTAGGCTGTCCTTTTGTGGAAAAAGTGACTATCAGATAGTTGCCTTTGTGTGCTGAGATAGTGCCACCTAGTGGGTTTTCCATCATCAAGACTCATGAAAAGACTAAATGAAAGTATGTCTCTTTATCAAGTTAAATTTAATTTCTTTAAACTGTATTTTAGAGCAAAACACGTACGGAGAACAATAACAAGAGATAAAAGTGTCCCCAGTTTTGACTATCAGTTCTTGCACCAGGTAAGATCAACCACATTACTTGTATAATATATATCTGCTATTAACGTAGATACAGTTAACAGGGAAATCTCTTTACTAGTGGTGGTCAACAAATTCCCAAGGTTCTGATGTGCTTGCTAAATTGCTAATGTTCCATCCTCATCCAGACTTAATTGTACTACTCTACTATCTATCTCTTAAATGTCTCATACTTCCTTTTAAATTTCTTAAGCCTCTTCTTGCAGGCTTAATTTTTTTGTCTTTTTTGTTGCTTGTCCAGCAAAATCTAGGATATGCTTGAAAAAGTGCATATTGTAAGAATAGATGTTGCCAAGCAGAGGTGCTATTCACAGGAGAGAAATTTGTCAGCAAATTGATAAATCTGCTTCTAGGTGGAGACTTTTTGCAAGGGAGGTAGCAAAATGGATGTTGCATTGTCAGCTGTATCACAGCTATATGGTGTGGTCAGTTCATCAGTGGTTGGGCGTACTGTGGCACCCTAAGTCAGTGTAGCTGCTGGATGCTGCCCTATCCACAGAGCATGCATTCCCTCTTCCATCTTTGCTCTGGCTGTGACTCTTACTGGAAATCTTTCTGAGCCTTTCTGCATACTAAGTCAGGAGGAAAACAAACCTATTCAAAAGAAAGCAGTTTTCTACCAGGTTAGTTCAGTAGCTGTCTGTTATTAGATTGATGTAGCCTCTGAAATGCGGTCTCTGCCTCTCATCTTCATCTATAAAATGAAATGTTTTTCTGTTTCATGGATCTCTTGTTAGATTTAATATTTGCAAATTGAGAATGCCAAATTAATGCCATAGAACTGTAATATTTTATTAATTCTTTCTAGCATTAATGATAATATTCCATTAATTAAATGCGGGATTTGGATTTTATAGTTGTGGATCACCAAAGAGAGCATGTCATTTAAATACATCAACTGACAAAAAAACTGATATGTGACAATGATATATAGCACATGCACCATGTTTGACTGTCATGGCTCTGTGAATTTACAGGTCATAGTCTCTTTCCGAAACTTATTCAATTTTTTGGCCATTATTTCAGCAAAAGAGTATTATAATTCTTTTCTGCCCTTAATTATTTTCTCAGAAAATCTGTCATTAGTATGCTTGGCCTTTTTTTAGTATATATTTCTAATTTTTCTATCTAAATCTGCAAAGTGGACAGTGACCAAGGGGAGCCACCTTTTTTGTAAAAGAAAAGTCGGAGGCAGATACAGAAATGGAACATAGGAGTACTTGGAGTGATTGAACAAGAGTCTTGAAAAAGGAGCACAGGGTCTCTCCCCTGACAGATCTGGCAGCAGTTTGGCTTTCGGACCTAATTCTGTAGTGTCTAGTTGAACCTGTCTCTGTAACTGCTAGCACATTTCTTAGTGGTATGAGAAACAACTGTTATAGTAACTTAAGACCTGCACTACAAAAGATGTTTGTAAGAGATAAGATCATATTGGAAAATAAGTTTTAGAATGCCTTGATTGTCTTTTCAGTTCTGGTACTGATGTTATGCTGTGACAAGTTGGCCTCTTCTTGTTTTCACATATTTAGACTGAAGATGATAAATGTCCTACAGAGTGCACTATTTCCAATTCTTGACTGTGTTCTCAGTGTCAAGAATTTCATGATGTTAATGTGATAATTATATTCACAAAACTATTTTAATTGTCCATGTTTGTAGTGAAGAAACTAGACAATGCTTTTGACGTGCCATTTTTCTTTCCCCACAGTTAGCTATTAAAAGCTTCGATAAAACCAAGTTAAAATCTGTTGAAACACTGGACCAGAACAAAGCTAAGATTATTGATGCAGAATGCAGTGGCAAATTTATGAAACATGACGACATGATAGAAACTCCTTGTAGGAGTAAATTAATGCACCGGAGACACACCGTTCCACTTTCAGCAGAGAGTGGCAGTGGTAATAGTTTATCCAGCCCTGGAAGTCCAAGTATTTCACAATCAAAAGACTGCTGTGATGACTTGCTTTCCAAACATTGACAAAGAAGCGCAACCGTGATGTCAAAAGCTGAGGAACTAGCTGGTGTTGATTTCAGTATCCATTTGCTGCATATCAAAGAACTTGCTGACACTTGTAAGCTATGCCTTCAGAAGAGAATACAGGGATGACTGTTCAGCAGAAACAGAATGTTCCCAGAACTCTTGAAGACTGAATCTGTCTTGGAGGTAACTGCAGAGCCAGATCGTTACTGATCTCAACAAACAGGGAAGTACTGATGTATGTAGGCAGTAAAGTTACCTTCCTGTTCTACTTAGCACTTACTAAAAAATCATATATAACAGTAAAACAGACCAAACCCTGTATTGTATTTTTTCAGCCATCCACTTTGTTTTTAAAGTCTTTGAATAATTTTCACATTTTCGGTTTTTACCACTACAGTGGATAAATATATATAAATATATATATATTTATATATACATAAAGATATATTGGATAACAAGATATTTATTGACAGAGGTAATTGAAATGTCTATTTTTATTCGAATATTACAAACTGTTATAGTATATATTTCTGTATATTTCAGTAGCTGAGAAAACAGTAGCCCCATAGCATCTGTGACACCATGTTAGACATATATACATGCTAATAATATGAAGGGAACTAATCTTTGCTAATTTCTTTGTAATGCTCCCATGTATCGGATCTACAGCATCAAGTTCTTTTTAGGAGCCAAGACAGTGGGGAGAAGTAGAGAACCGCTGCAAGGCTAAACTGTCAACTCAGTGTTCAGCCTGATTAAAAAATATGCAGAAGCAAGAGTGCATAAGGACACACAAAATTGTTTTAAGGTTTGTTTTTTTTCTTCCTCTAAAGCTAGCCATTCAAAAAATGCACGAATATTCGTGATTCTGAACCTGGGCAACATCTGCAGACAAAACCGCTGCTTAAGAGCATGAAGCAGACTGTTACTGAAAGAAGTGAACTTCCATTTCTGAAAGGTACCTCTCACACCACTTGGCTTTTATTGGAATAGATCATTCCTAGAAGTGATCACTGAAGATGAAAAGCTCACAAGTAACTGAGATGGCTGCTTAGATTTGGACTTTGTTTTCTACTGTTTCGGTTACGGTAGTAAAACATGTAACATGTGCATAGCACAAGCCAGGTTCCTAAGTGCAGTATTTTTTTATTCTTGGCTCACCACATCCAGCTTTCATTTTATTTGTATGAATAATTTTATTTCTTTTAATTGCAGTATCAGTAAACTGCCTGGCAAAGTAGAAAGCTGGAGGACATGCTGGTGATTTTTTCAAGTAACTTTTTAATCTAAGAGGTAAAATTTGCAGCAAGTGCACATTTAGACGTTTGGAGTTGAGGATCTTGTGTTTATTTTTCTAATAATTTATGAGTTTATCTGATTTTTCTAATGTGCCTTGGATTTGTGCCAAAAGATGGAAAGAAAAAGCTAGTAAAGTAATTCTTGAAAATGCTGTTTTCTTTGAGTGCTTATTTAAAGCATTGCGTCTCTTTGTATATTTACTTTCTTGTTTTTGAAGAGGCATTTGAAGAGTTCACCTTGTATCTATGTGTAAATTGAGGGGATCTGTTGGAATTTACAGTCACATTCAATAGGACTTTCTTTCCTTTTCTGCTCTACATTCATAGATTGCTATTAGTAGGTTGTGTAGGTTTGGGATTTCAGGCATATAAATATTAAATACAGAATTACCTGTGAAAGTGAACATTTTCACTTATAAGTTCCTTCTTCATTTAAAAAAAGGTGGGATTGATGTTAACTATCTACAGCAAGCCAGAAGAGCAAGTGGAAGGGTGAACAGATGAACTAGTTAGTCTTTTTTCTTCCTGTGACAGTACACAGTTGTCCTAGAACTTGTTGCTTATCCCTGCCTGTGATGTTCTTGAAATATCTAAAGATTCATTGTAAAGTTAAAGATAGAAATAAAATTTCATAGATCTGATTTCTAAACTAAATACTGAGAATTTAGCTTATGTCTTAATTACAGTATGTGTTTTACCTAAATCATGATAAGATTTCTTGACAGTCTGAATGAGAAAAATCAGCTCCATAGTTTTTTTTAATACTGGTGATAGTATGCTACGGCATCTAAGTGCAGAATATTTCTCAGAGTTGGGTAGCTTTGGAAAAAAGTTCTGAGTGAGTTTATTAATACCTTTGAAAAGTGTTAGAAATAAGTATCAGAGGATGTGAACTCTGAATTTAGTTTTGTTTTTTATTAAAAACCAATTTTGACTAGAACGGGTTATGGAAAACAAATTGTTAAATATTGTTCTATCTGAAGCATAAAGTGTTCCATTGTATTCTATGCAAGCAGTGAAACAGCTGCAACATCTTGATATAAACGACTGTGTAATTATTTGGTTGATTTCACTTTTAAAATTTAGTCTGTTTGATGGGCAAATAGACATCTCCCTGCTGCACAATGACCCTCTTGCACTACCTCAGCAAGGCTGGAAGCTCTAGTCACCAGGGGTGTTGGACTAGATGACCTTTAAAGGTCCCTTCCAAATCAAATGACTCTATGATCTTAAACTGGCTTTTTGTAAGGAGCTATACACAGCAGAGAAATAGTCCACAATAAGCAGTCACTAAGCACAGGTGCAGGAACAGCGATGCTCTGAAGTGCCACATATTTGCATATCTATTTGCTGCTGTTACATCTGTGGGTAGTACCAGGTGCTACTGAGACTATGCATAAGTGTAGAACATGAAGCACAACTACAGTTATACCAATCTGAGGAGGTGGCTGATTAGGAAAAGCACTCTTCCTGTATTTTACAGGAACTGGACAAGTGTTACACTAGTGCTTGCCTTTGGAAAACGTTTTCCTCTTGAATGAATTGTAAAATTTCCCCCCCAAAAAACCCACAAAACCAAAAGTAGCTTCATTAACTTGAGTTTTCTGTTGTTGTTCTATCTGAACAGTTGTCCTGTTGAACCCAAACCTACTTAAGTGATCAAACCATGCTTCACTTTTACTTCAGTGTTCAGTCTAGGATAAAGCTTACTTCCAGGCATTTTGGATTTGTATCTATCAAAGCACTTAAATCCTGACCAGTTCCAAATAACGTCTAATAAATGATTTAGGTAAGTGAAAGATTCCTCTGACATGCTTAACCAAGCTTATCATTAAAGAAATATACTGATATTCTAAGACTATGATGATTCAAGGCTAAACTCAGATAAGATTTGAAGGGAGTATTCCTAGGAATTCTCTCCAACAGTCTGTGAACAGCCATGTTAAAGTGATGCTTTTTGAACAAGAATAACACGCTTACCAGTGCTCACTTTAAACAGTTTTATTCTGTTCCAAAAAACACAGGATCATACATGTTTATGTTAAATGATGTCAGAAAAGGGCTTTGTGGTTGTAGAGTGTTTATCAGCACAATGTTTTTGAATAAATGTACAGCACAAGTTTTACTTTATGCATGCAGGAGTTGCAGAAATTTAGGAAAACTGATTTTTTTTTTTTTTTTTAAGAAACACTCCAGCCACTTGATAAAAATGGAGGTAGCTTTAAGAATGTACGATACCAAATGTCTGACCAGTGCTGTATTACAATTACACAGTTAATTTTAACTTGCTTTTTTTTTTTTTTTGAGAAAGCCTGATTATTTTGTAGGAGAAACTTCAATTGTATGATGGTAACAATTTCTTTATAATAGAGACTGCCCCCATTCCAAACACAAATAATGGCTACTTTGATGCTTTAACTTGAATTTATAAATTTTGAGTAGAGTTGAGAGTCTGTGAGCTGCTGGAGAGGCTTCCTTCAGGGGCTCAGGAAACCTTGCTTCTAACACTTCTGTGACTTAGACTCTGGAGGTAAGTGGCTGTTCCCAGCTTTACACTTAAGTTCTCATGTTACCGTATCTCCAATAGCAGCAAGTTAAGGGTGTACAGGTGCTGAAAGCATAGCTTACACACTGAGTAAGGGGTAACAATTTTCATGCTACTCGAGCAGTGGAGAACTCCACGCTGCTCAGGCCACTTACACTACAAAAATTTAAGTTATAAAATCCCCTTCTCAGGTGTATTTTACAAGACAAGTTCATTTGTTGGCCTTTATACATATTTATATATATTAAAAAAAAAAAGAAACGTAAACATTTTCAGATCTTGCATTCTGCCTGATAACTGTTGCCTTTGTCCAAGCCGTTTATTTGGCAGTCTTACAGTAGTATTTAATAATCATCCTCTTCATCTGAATCCAATACTTTCCTTCTGTTGAACTAAAATGAAATACAATGGTCACAGTAAATCCAACACAGAAAAAGTCTTTCAAACTCCACCCATCTGACAATCTATTACTGGGAAACAGAAGTTTCACCCCATCACAACCTTCCAGTCCCCACCTGGCATAATGGGAGAGATCAAAAGCACAGGTCTGTCTCACAACACAAAACTGATATCCCAGTGATAACATCTGCAAATTAGACTATTCCTAAGGATATAACCCAATACTTATTTATCAGTGTGGGTAAGAGAAGTGATGGTAAATACAAACTGAAATAGTGCACTACATTCAGTTTTCCTGCTTGAGTTTGTAACTATATATTACATACATATTATTTTTATATTTTATTATATGTAATAAACTATAGGAAACAAAACTTACCTTTACTGTTGTTTTCTTTTCTGTTTGCTGACTTACTTTTTCAAGTATTTCTATCAAACCTTGTTCTGATACCTAGGAAAGTAGAAGATTAGTATCAAACAAATGAAACGCATTTTCCTTTGGAAAAGGTGTCTGACTGATGAATTATACCATGGTAGTCAGAAGTGTTCCTAAGAGCCCTTTTCAGTTATTTAATTCTATGAATATTAAAAACATCAAATATTTTTGAGGGAATTAAGTTTGAAAATGAATATATGCAAGAAAATATAGGGGAAAAAAAGCAAGACATAACTCACCTTTCCAGGTAGCTGTCCAAATCTTGCCATCTGTATAAGATAATTCTCTACTGCTTTTGCTTTGTCTGGTTTCACAAGTGCCAAATTGCTTACTGCAACAAAAAAGGCTCTGTTCAGTTTGTTTTAGAACACACTTTGAATATCATCACTGTCACTTTTTAGATACTAAAGTAGGGAACTGTCCTCTTTGTGCCAGGATGATGAAATAAACTGAAGAAGGGATTTTGACAAAGATAAATTTCTTAAATATTTGTTCTTTATTAGATTAACTAACATTGACTCACTACAGTTCTTACTATTAATTCATGGAAGAACTGGAATAATATCATTCAGATGTCAGCTGACCACTCCCCTCACTCATACCACCAGTTGAAAAACTGAACTAGCTTTCCCCTCAACAGTTTTTTTCAGTGTGGCCTCTACACAGGCATGTATGTTCTCTATTTGAGAGGTGAGAATTCTTCATTTTATAGCTTCTT